TTTACTTTGATCTGTACCGGTAACTTTACTTTGATTTGTACCGGTAACTTTAATCTGATCGCGATCTTTAATTTAAATTCATGAGAACCACTTATTGAAATGAAGTTATTTATTTATGTTGTAATTGTTGAATGTTTATTTATTTTGAATAACATTTTAACAATGTTTAAATATGATAGCTAATTTGTATTTTTATTTATGACCTTGTTTAGGTCAGGTTTTTTTTCACCCCCTGTGTCACGTCAAGATGGCGAGCTACCGGATCACCGCAGCTTCGCGGTAGGATTTACATGAACCAAGTTACTTTCTCATTCTGAACTTATTTGCTTTGGGTTATGGACAAGAAAAACCCTACAACAATCAGACATTGATTGATGAACCGTTGAATCACTCTAGATTCATGAATGGACTAAAAAGGAAACTCTTGGGTGACATAAGGATTTATTGTTTTGTTGATGAGTTTGTTTGTTTTTGTTTCTTGTCGTATTTTTGGTTATATCATAAAAGAAGTCACTGTTGTTATAAATATTATTAATATTGCATACCTTTATATATATATATTTGAAAAAGACTCAAACTTGAATATAATAATTGAAACATACTTCGGTCTAATGGTATTTTGTTCACACCCACAGGCTCCATAGGCGAACCTATCTGAGTGCCTATTATAACTGGCTGCAGTCAGGCGCCTAGCCTTAAATAAGCGTTACATTTGCATGTAAACTTGCTGCGCCTGCTGCGTCCGGTGTGAACGTAGCATCAGTCTGCATGGCCACCCGAAAGGTGCAAGACTGTTACATCACAGTTTAGGAGTCATCTCCTGTAGTGTGTATGATGTCTTATCCAATTTCTTCAGGGGTTCTTTTTTTGCGTGTGATTACACTGTCACAAGTACAGTGCAACAAAATTCACTGCATTTAAGCAATCCCCTTAGGGAGCAGTGGGCTGCCATTGTGCAGCAGCCGGGGAGCAGTGTAGGGTTAAGGGTCTTGCTCAGAGAGCCAGAGTGGCAGTCTGTGGGAGTGGGTTTCAAACTCACAACATCAGGATTTCATCCTCTTAACTCTAGGCCGTGATATGCTCTAACCACTAGTAGAGATATAGTGAACTGGCCTATCAGAACCTTACAAAGCCATGACATCATCACCTGGGGTTTTGCTAAAATATTTAAAGGCACAATAATCTTAGAGGATCAGCAAGTCTGACCATAAAGAAAATGACAAATTTCCTTTGAGTCTTGTAACAGTTGTTTTTTAAATATCGAATGTTAAACTTTTTTTTTTTTTAGCACAGAACATGTATTATTAAATTTAGCTTTTTATAGGTTTTGAATTAAAAAAACATGTATTGATGGGAAGGAATACTACAAACCGAGTAGATCAAGCCTGCCTCGGTTCCTCCAATATTTATAGAAATATTTTTAGAAAAATAATAATATCTCTTAGGAACTCAAATCTTCAGATAGCAGATTGGTGACAGACCTGAACACAACATTTTAGTTGTGGAAAATGCAAAAAAACGGTTGAATAAATCCATTATATTATTTGCAAATAATTAGTTAAGTGAGCTGCCATTCAGCTTTAATTAAAGTATTAAAATCCCTAATGAATAAAACTATTTTTTAAAGCTTTGGTTTCATTTGGTAACTTTAGATGAGATAATCCTTCAAACTGATCCTTTCAGTACTGCCTACTCTGAACTGTTGTTTCACCAAAACAATCGATGCTGTGATTTCGCTCTGTGTTGATTGATATGCAGAAACACTGGAGCTTTAAATAGATGTAGGATATTAAGCTCAAAATAATCTAATAAACAATAAATGTTGGAACAGGAATCTAATAAGATGTCTACAGATGTTGAAGTAAACAGTTTAATACAGAGGCAGAAATAAAACATTAAGGAAAAAAGAACAAAAGCATAAAGGAGATTTACAGTAACACTTTGAAATGATGCATCAAAGAAAAAAAAGAATATTTCATGATTTAAAACAGGAAATGGTCCCACTTAATTCCAGCAAACTATTTTAAATGGTAAAATGTTAAACATTATTAAAAGCTGAGGCCATTAGACACCAACTCACCTTTCATCCTGGATAGAACAAACAAAATAAATCTGCTGACGTCCTACGAGTTCATCTTTGATTCTCCCAGAGAGGCATCAGACTGTCTGCATGTTCAGAACTGGACTAAAACAAACCGATCCCCGTCGGCTTTGGTTGTTCTGGACCCGATCGATCCATGCTGCGGCCCTGCAGCTGTGTCAGACAACATCCTGCCAGTCACCAGAGGTGAAACTAGCAGCCAGCTCTGAACCCAGAAGACCCGAACCGGTTTGATTTGTCTGAGACGATCAGACGGGGGAGAGTCGACATCATGGGTGGAAAACGGGGACCTAAAAGAACCTCTGACCTGGATTATGATCCAAAATCATGGATGAACATCTGTACATCCGCCCCCTTCCTGCTAAAAGCTTTAAACGGATTCCTGTCATTTGTTCATTGGATCTTTCAGTTCATCAGAGATTGTTGCCATATTTTAGGGGAAATCTTTAGTTGAAATAAAAAAAAAAAAGTGATTTTTCTATATTCTGAGAGCATCAGGTCAGATCGATCCAGAGTGAAGCTACACATCTGTCTCTGAGCGTTTGCATCAACCCAGAATATTTCAGCCTCATTTTACAGTTTTTACACTGGAAAAAATTGAAGCCTAGATTAGTCATTTGTTCTTAAAATAAGTGCATTTATTTTTTAATTGAGGAGATAAGAGACATTTGGCCAATGGAACAAGACAATTTACATTTTAAAATAAGAAAACACAAGTGCATTGTCTTATTTTAAGTGCATTTTTATCTAAATATCTTATTTTAAGAGTAAAAATACTCATTCCATTGGCAAATCATCTCCTTTACCTACTCAAATTAAGGATAAATACACTTTTTTGCAGTGTAGTCTTCCAGTTTTAATTAATCCAGTATTTTTAAGACCTAAAAATTCAGTTTTTCCCCAACAATCCCTTTTAAACAGGTTCTCAGGTCTCCAGCAGTACCATTTCTAGTTTCTAAATTCTATCCTCTAGTGCAGGGGTCTGAAACCTTTCATATCCAAAGAGCCATAGCCTCAAAATATTACATTAACCTTTACATGTACAATTACAGATATTCGAGGCTGCTTCAAATTCTTTCATTTTCAACTTAAAAACATTTAATTTTCTTTGTAAAAAAATTTCCATGCACAAGGAGCTGCGTAGCTAAATGCTTTCTTCCCTAAATCTGTGCGTTGGAAGGAACAAATCTTAAAAACCTGTTGATTTGCTTTTTGTTTTAGCTTAAAACAATGAAAAGCTAAATGATTTATAAAGGTGAAGCATGAATTTTCTTCTATAGGTTATGATAAAACATATCTCCAAGCTAATTAAAAGAATAGAACTATAAACATATTTTCTGATGCTTTTAAAGTCACTCTGTTGTGAAAATTAAAGTTCTATATTCTTTATAAAAACTATTAAAATGTTCCAGGAATGGTATTTATTATAGTGTATTATTTAGTTTAAAATATCTTTTTTCCCACTATTAAGTGCCATTGTAGAGGGTCTAAAGAGCCACAGGTTGCAGACCCCTGATCAGCTGGATGCTGTACAGACTGAGCTGGCAGCTTTGATTTGATGCATATTTCATCTTCCTCCAGAGAACCAGCGATTTAATTCAAATTATATAAAGAAAAAAAGTTGATGACACTCTTCTTTTGCCATTTCTTGTATAACACCAAGAGAATGTCTAAAGCTGCAGACCTGGATACACCTGCAGCTAAGGACCTTTGCTCCACCCTCTGGTTATCCTCAGTTTGTGTGCTTTTTATTTACCTTCTTCCTTCCACCCAACTTTCTAGTTTTTCTTTTTCATTATGTGTAATAGATCAATTCAGCATAGGTTAGACTTTCTTAAAATATTGAACCTTTTCATGATTAATGTTCAGTCTTCAGCATCAGCCTGTTGCTGTGAAGCGATGAAGTTTAATTTCAATCCGTGGATCGATGAGCCGCGTTCCATTTCACACATGGCCTCTCCTCTGCTGCCATTTTAATTTCGGCGCTTCCTCCAGGCGGCTGTTCCATTAACAGGAAATCAATGCAGCTGGCCGAGCTGTGAGGCTGCGGCGGTCCGTTTCCACAGAGATCCATCACAGACGGGGGGGGGGGGGGGGGTTAACATTAAGCAATACAAGGCAGTTGCCTGGTATTATGCCCACATTAAACTCCACTATTCCTTATTTGTGCACAGTAATTACGCTTTTGATTAAAAAAAACCTTTTGCTAAAATGCCATCAGAATGCCGATAATATTAAGCGTCCACCATATTGGATCAGTCCATTTGCTGCACATGTTCAGAAAGGTCCAAACAGACAGCAGCAAACCATTTGAAAACAAACCATGCAAAGAGCAGTGTTGCTAACTTAGCGCTTTAGTCGCTATATTTAGCCACTTTTCAGACCCCTCTAGCACTTTGATTTCTAAAAAGCTCCTAGCGCCAAATCTAGAGACTTTTTTCTGCTACTGGAGACTTTGGAGACAACATCTAAAAGCAGCGAACTCTGCTCTCCAGAGCGAGTAGATTGGTAACCCCGCCTCCTGCTCTCCTCTATCTTGTCTGCTGTCATGATTCATGCAGCTATTATTTCATCCAAATGAAAAATGGAGAACAGATAAGCAGATCATGGCTTGTCTACAGTGAAAAGAAGGACTGGGTTATTTACTTTGGCCTTTTTGGAAACACAGGAAGGAGCAATCAGCTAAGTGAGCTTAGTGCTTGGAAAAAATCTTTCATTCCTTTAGAGACAGCATGAAAAGTCAGCTGAGTACAAAACAGAGGAAAAAATATTGTCTATTCTATTAAAATTTCTGTATAAAGGGTGTTTAATGTATTGTGGCCCCAAATTTCCTAAAACCGCCCGATCACAGACTGAACACCTGAACGATCAGTTTACAAAGTGAATCCACACACAGATCCCTTATACTGAATGTTGTTGGTTTATTACAGAAAATAAAAAGTTGCTTCCTAACAAAGACAGAGAAAATAAAACATGCAGGGACATTCGGGTCGATGCGGACCGTCAGACGCAGCAAAGAAACGCAGTTCAGAGACAGACGTACAGAAAACACAGTTTAACACTTTCTGATCTTTATCATATAGCGACTGAACCGCCGTCAGCCACCCAGCCGCAGTCAGGATCGGCTCTAACGGGCCCGGAGTCGCTCAGCTGAAGCCAGTTCTAACGGGTCGGCGAGGATGAGCGGTTCTGATGTACAGGATTAAAAACAACAGCTGGGATTTTTACAGCAAATACTGAAAGTTTTAGTTTGAGAAAGAAAATCTGCTGCAGATGATTTAAACAGATAAAAATCAGTAACTGAACGTTTGAATCGCATTCACACAAACCACAACTTTATGTTCCGACTGGGAAAACATTACAGAAATATTTCTAGAAAAAAAGAAAAAGAGCAGCAGCGCTGGCCTAAAAAAAAAAAATGGAGCTTCCTACAAACGGCTGAGCGGACTTCAAATTCACACCAAAGACCGCTGCAGGTCAAACATGGGGGCGGGGTCTGTTAGCGGCCTCTGTTCTTCCGCCCGGCCCAGGAGTGGGAGCGCGAACGGGACCGGGACATGGAGCGGGACTTTGAGTGAGCCTGGCGTGGGTCTTCCTCTGCGTAGTGGGAGGCGGCGGCGGGGTTCATGTCTCTGGGAGACGCGGAGCGGGACCTGGACCTCCTCCTGGAATCTTTGCAGGGCCTCTGTCGGTACCTGAAGACAACAAGGCTCTGATGTTACTGAAAACTAACACTTCCAACGTAGTGACCAGAAACTCCAGCCGATCGGGATATTTTCATTGGAAAAAGCTTTACTTAATTCTCACTTTCGACAAGTTTTGATGGATTAGACACCACCATTCTGTATTCTGTATATATTTCTATATTATCTGCACCATTAACACCAAATCAAATTCCTTGTCAGGGCTACCAACTATGCAATTAACGCGATTCCGACCAAGGAGGAGCTACTGTAAATCCATCACACCTTAAAGATTTAGACCAGCGTATGCCTGACGTAACAAAGATCAAAAACGCCGGCATACGTTGCACTGGGTGCATTGCGTATACAGGTGCTGGTCATAAAATTAGAATATCATGAAAAAGTAGATTGATTTCAGTAATTCCATTTAAAAAGTGAAACTTGTATATTATATTCACACATTACATACAAACTCATATATTTCAGATGTTTATTTTGTTTAATTTTGATGATTACAAATGACAACAAATGAAAATCTCAAATTCATCATATCAGAAAATTAGAATATTACTGAAGACCAATAAAAACAAAGGATTTATAGAAATGTTGGCCAACTGAAAAGTATGAACATGAAAAGTATGAGCATGTACAGCACTCAGTATTTAGTTGGGCCTCCTTTGGCCTGTATTACTGCAGCAATGCGGCGTGGCATGGAGTCGATCAGTCTGTGGCACTGCTCAGGTGTTATGATAGCCCAGGTTGCTCTAATAGTGGCTTTTAGCTCTTCTGAATTGTTGGGTCTGGTGTATTGCATCTTCTTCTTCACAATACCCCATAGATTTTCTATGGGGTTAAGGTCAGGAGAGTTTGCTGGCCAATTAAGAACAGGGATACCATGGTCCTTCAACCAGGTACTGGTAGCTTTGGCACTGTGTGCAGGTGCCAAGTCCTGTTGGAAAATGAAATCTGCATCTCCAAAAAGTTGGTCAGCTGCAGGAAGCATGAAGTGCTCTAAAACTTCCTGGTATGTGGCTGCGTTGACCCTGGACCTCAGAAAACACAATGGACCAACACCAGCAGATGACATGGCACCCCAAACCATCACTGACTGTGGAAACTTTACACTGGACTTCAAGCAACGTGGATGAAGTGCCTCTCTTCTTTTCCTCCAGACTCTGGGACCTTGATTTCCAAAGGAAATGCAAAATTTACTTTCATCAGAGAACATGACTTTGGACCACTCACCAGCAGTCCAGTCCTGTTTCTCTTTAGCCCAGGCAAGACGCTTCTGACGCTGTCTGTGGTTCAAGAGTGGCTTGACACAAGGAATGCGACAGCAGAAACCCATGTCTTTCATACGTCTGTGTGTGGTGGTTCTTGAAGCACTCACTCCAGCTGCAGTCCACTCTTTGTGAATCTCCCCCACATTTTTGAATGGGTTTTGTTTCACAATCCTCTCCAGGGTGCGGTTATCTCTCTTGCTTGTACACTTTTTTCGACCACATCTTTTCCTTCCCTTCGCCTCTCTATTAATGTGCTTGGACACTGAGCTCTGTGAACAGCCAGCCTCTTTAGCGATGACCTTTTGTGTCTTGCCCTCCTTGTGCAAGGTGTCGATGGTCGTCTTTTGGACAACTGTCAAGTCAGCAGTCTTCCCCATGATTGTGTAGCCTATAGAACTAGACTGAAAGACCATTTAAAGGCTTTTGCAGGTGGTTTGAGTTAATTAGCTGATTAGAGTGTGGCACCAGGGGCCATCAATTTTGAACCTTTTCACAATATTCTAATTTTCTGATATGATGAATTTGAGATTTTCATTTGTTGTCATTTGTAATCATCAAAATTAAACAAAATAAACATCTGAAATATATGAGTTTGTATGTAATGTATGAATATAATATACAAGTTTCACTTTTTAAATGGAATTACTGAAATCAATCAACTTTTTCATGATATTCTAATTTTATGACCAGCACCTGTAAGTAGTGAAACACGCCGGCACACGTTGACATACGGCAAGTAGGTGGGCGGGACATTTCGAGCATGTCAAAATTTCCCAACGTATGCCAGCGTCAGCTCATACGTGGGCCATAAGTTCCAGGTAAGTTATCTGATGACTGACATACCTTAAGTTTAACTTACTCATAAAGCCTGATATATACTCAGACCAGGTCGTCTGCATGTGTTCCAGTGAATGGAAATCTGTCACCGCCCCAGATTTCAGACGGACCAGCTAGAAGAGCGAGGTGCACGAGAAAGATGGGACCCAAAACTTCCCGTCGTATGCCATACGTGGGTCATAAGTTCAAGGTTAAGTTATCTGATGGTTGACATATGTTAAGTGCAAGTTACTCATAAATTGTAGCATCTAGCTCAGGGGTCTTCAAAGTTTTCCAGGTCAAGGACCCCCAAACTAATGCTGAGATGGAGCGGGGACCCCCGCATTATATATATTGTATGAAATAGTGTTCTATTAACCTGGTCCTATAGTCACTCTATTACAGATGGAGTAATGTAACTAAAGTAATCCCTCCCTGGGATTATTAAAGTATTTCTGATTCCTGGTTGATGGGACAGGTGTTGTGAATGAAACGGTGTCCAGCTTGAAAGAGCTCCTGTGTGTCGCTGAATGTGTGCATTGATGACTGAAAGACTTCTTCTGCCTCCATTTATCTGTTTACTACAGTCTGTTCAATTCATGTTAATGTGGATTTAAAGACATTTCAATTAGTGGAGAAAATTAGAGGGAATATATATATATAAAAAAAAAAGTCTAATCAACCGTGGACCCCCTAGGGGGTCGCAGACCCCCTGTTGAAGACCTCCAGTCTAGCTGATCCTAAACCTCTGAGTAACTTCTGCGTAACTTATCCAGAACTTCTCTCCAATGCATATCAAGGTATCTGACGTGTTCCAGACGAGCGCTGAACGTGCATCTAGCTTCCAGCTACTGTAAAATGGCGTATTTGGTATAAAGGGGGTTCACAGGAGACTTCATCCCCATCATAGGGTGAGCCAGAAGGTGAGAGTGATGGATCCTCCCTGAGTTCACGCCCACCACCAAAACACTTCCTAGCAGACATGATGCTGAATTTGCTGCCACCAGAAACCACTCTTTTTCTTTTTATTTAATGGTTTTTTTGGGGGGGCGGTAAACAGCAGCTAGGTTAATACCGCAGTAAAAGATCTTTTTATGCAAACTGAGCTCATTGCTGCTCCTGATGGGAGCAGCTTTAACCCTTTAAAGCCTGATCCCAGAATAAAACAAAGCAGAAAATTACTTTTTTTTTGGTTTGAAGTCCTTATTTGCCCTTTTAACAAAATATGTAAAAAGAAAAAAATATAAATAAATTTTTTATATTAATAATTTATTACTATGCGATAAGTCAAGATAATATTTGTGTAGTCTTCTGCCCTCTGTTATCAGGTATATCTGATTATGTACAATAGGATTTTGAGCAAAGTTTTTACCATTAAATTATGCAAAAGGTGTCAGACGCAAAACATTTCAGAAACCGTATGTATCAAATATGATACATTTGGCATCATAGGGTTAACTGATGCTTCGTATTACGCATCGCGTTGTTGTGTCTTATGCATAATTTACGCCATTGTTGGACATACGCTCTGGACTCGTTTTGAATACCCGATTTATACGCCCCAAAAAATAAAATAAAACAATCATAGAAAGTTCAGTGTATGTCAGCATTTTAGGAGATTCTGGGACGTCAGGCTTACGCTGGATAAATCAGCAAGGCATGACAGCTATGGAATATTATAAACAAAAGGAGCCCAAGTAAGAAAACTATACACTGCAAAAACTATCTAGAAATAAGTAAAAAAAAAATGAATTGAGTGTATCTAACCTTAATTTGAGTAGGTAAATGAGATGATTTGCCAATGGAATGGGGTTTTTTACTCTTAAAATAAGATAATTAGATAATATGCACTTGAAATAAGACAAAGCAATTGTTTTTTCTTATTTCAAATGTAAATTGTCTTGTTCCATAGGCAAAGTGTCTCACTTAAGTCCCCAATTCAAGAAAAAATGCACTTATTTTAAGAAAAAAATACTACCTCTACCTTTCTTGCAGTGTATATTCATACAGTCATCACAAAAATGTTCTTTTATGACGGCTAGTTCTGTAATTCGACTGGTTTGCCGTTTTTCTTTTTCAATTAAAATCTCCTGCAAGGTACCGTAGACCCAGACAGAGGGAACAATACCTGTCTTCTTCTCGGCTTCTGCTTCTTCCTCTTCCGTACATCCGCCCACGAGACCTAAAATCAAAGTAAAATCAGCTTCATCTTTTTCCTGCAGAACGATCCCAATAAGCCAAACAAAGTAAACTCACTCTCTGGGACTCTCTGATCGCCTACGGCGGTGGTCATGAGACGGGCTGCGCGATCGGTAGCGTTCGTAGCTGCGGCTGCGCGATCTTCTGCGCCAGCCGTCTCGGTCGTAGTCATCGTACCGAGACGAGCGACCCGGAGATCGCCGCTCCTTCGATTTCATCTGGTTGGGAGCTGTCGGGGGGGCAAAAGTAGTAAACTTCAAAGAAAAAAATAAAGGGCGACAAAGATGGGAAGAGGAGCAGACTTACTCTTCCGGTCACCCTGGGCGAACTGGATCTCAATCTGGCGGCCACAAACCCACTTCCTGTCCAGGCTGTGCAGAGCATCCTCTGCGTCTCTCACATCTTCAAATATGCTGAGCAGTTAAGGCTTCAGTTTCTTGCTTTACGTTTAAAAACATGTTCCGGCGGGGAAAGCACATTTCTGCATTCAGCGTTTCTTTTGGGAACCTTATCAGGATATGAAGGCTGCACAGAACCTTAACTTTAATTCAGGGGGTTAATGAGACGACACGAATAAAAAAAAGGTACAGAGTTCTACTGCAGGACAAAGTGAGAAAACAAACAGACGCTCAGTTGATTTTTGTAGAGATAAAAGATGAAGCAAGCGTTTCAGGACAGATATAAAAACAAATTAAACATTAAGACTTTATCAGATTGTTTGGACCAAAATTAAAATGCCATCAATCTCACAGGGAAAGCTGATTTTCTTTTTTTTTTGGTTTCACGTCAAATTAGCGGATTTGTTTTTGGGGAGGATACAAAATAATTCAGACTTGTTACCTTTGGCCATGCTTGACTTTGAACTTCATCTTGATCTTTACACTCTTTAAACGACTCCCAGAGAGAGTTGGATTTCCTGCTTGCTCTTTCCTCTTAAACCTCTTTTCTTTTCCCAACTCTTTGCCGCCATTTCCAAGCTTTGTCCTGGTTCCCTTTTCCTCTTCATGCTTTACTTTTTCTTTTCAACCTTTTCCCTCCCTCTGATCCTGCAGGGCTCTGTGTCACTTGCCTTTACAGCTACTCTACACGGGTCTTTGTAATTCTTTGTGGCCGCTTCCACAACTCGACGCTTTTACTTTTTTCTGAAGCAATAACAGAAAAATATGAATGTTAGATATTCAGTCAAATTGGAATAAGAAAAACTTCATAAAGGATGACTGACTTGTTAGAGCAAAAGGTTAAAAATCATTAGGAAAGGATATTGAATGTATGCAAATCCTCTTGGCTGACGTGTATAGAAGTCAAGTGGGATGTAGACATCTACTACCGGCCCATAGCGGCCAAACTCACGCCGCAAATCCTCAGGCCTGAATACCGCAAATACAAGTGTGACTCAGCTGACCATCAGAGCTTATTCTGATTACATCATCTACTACAGAGAGCAGCTGCTAAATGAAACCAAAACTCTTACCTGATTTAGAGATCACCTGTTTAGCACATTAGCAATTAGACTCTCTGATGCAGGTTAAATAAACAACCTCTCTAAGCACAGCAGAAGGCTGAAATTGTTTAAATTCACCATTCTAGGGATGTCCCGATCTCGGATTGGCCCGATCGTTTTCTATTTTCCGGTGATCGGAGCGCGGCTACATTAGCGTGCTGATCTTGACAGCAACTGCTGTAAAGTACCCGCTAGTTACGGTTGGCGGTAGCTTGTGTCACTCCCAGATCCGTCCCGGAAGCACGATCTGTTCTAGGTAGGCAAAACTTTGTTTTTCTTACTTTTTTATTCTTTTGTCCTTTTCTGAAAAGGGGTTCCTTTGGAATATTCTTGTATTTGCATAAATATTGCATATTCTAAAAACAAAAAAAGCATCACACTTAAATATCCTTTGGAACATTACTGTGACTGCTCTGAGCACGTCCGATGATGACGTCAGAATGTAAAACATACCCATTACTTCCAGAAAAGTCTTCAAAATTTTCTATAGAATTTAGTTTAGAATTCTTTAATGTTTTAAGTATATAAATAAGTATTATCATGACCATTAGCACGCAGTTTTTCCAGCGATCCAGATTTTATTATGTATGCGCAGGATCGATCAGGCTTCTGGGATGGATTTGGTAGTGGCAGCTTGCAATAAAAACTTCAATGACGGTGCAAATTAAGCATGTCAGAAGAGTGGAAATATTTTACTCTCCAGAATGATGACTGTCTTAAAGCCACTTGCAATGTCTGCAACATGGTATTTCAAGAGGATGTAGCAGGAGAGCCTCGTTTAACACTAAGAAATTAATTCGTAGTCTGAGGACAAAACATGACGATTTGCATGAAGCATTTTGTAAAGCTGCAGAAGGAAAAGTTGCTAAAGCAAAGCAACAAACATTGGATGTTATGAGGAAGGTCGGTCGATTTTATTGCTGTTGACAACCAGGCCATCTTAGTAGTTGAGAATGTTGGACTAAGGCGTCTGCTGGAAGTTTTGGACCCGCGCTACGTTCTGCCCTCTAGACACTACACTGCTGTCAGCGGTACCACAGCAGTACAGCTAAAATACAATACAAAGTCACCTGAATCGAAATGTTGTTCATTTAAAGGCACACTATGCAACATTTTTCAGTTAATTAATGTGTTCCATAACGTTTTGGATGATTAAATGAGTAATTTCAGGTTGAACAAAGGTATTCCCGGCCGCCCTGGTGGTCTGTGGGGGAAATACTGCACTTGCAACTGCAGGAGCACCGACCCGCACCCACAGGCTCAGAAGTCTCGTGAGAGTCAGTCTTGCTTTACGGCGAGAACTGCTACACGCCCCCAGTTAAAAGCATTCTCGTTGCTAGCACAGTGGCGATCTTTGTGCAGTTATGCTACGTTCACGCAGCAAAATCGCGTCTGCTGCTTCATTTTTGCTGCTTGTACCAGTTAGTTCTGACGCGGCTGAAACAGCTTTGCTGCTCTGGCTGCGCGGTGCAAAAGTGTGTCTGACGCGCGTTGGGCAGAGCTTCACTATCCTTTCTCTGCCTTGCAGCTATATTTGCTGTGATCAGTGGGAATAAAGTAGTTTTAATATGTGTTTAAGTGAGAAAATACACCTGAAAACGTAATCAGTGCAGTCAGTTCATTCAGATTACCATCCTGCCTTCAATATTTTTTCTGTCGGAGACGCTCAGACCCCCACATACCAGGGATGCGCCGAAAGTAGGGATCCCTTCATCAGCAGCCTCTGGCAGCTGGTAGGTGTTTTTCATCTAAATAATCCAAACTGCATATTCTGCCGGCAGATTTCTGCATTTTAAGTTAATTTAGGCGTCAATAAAAGAGGATTGATCATCAGCGCTGTGTCTCTCTCCCTGCGTCAGATGCTTAGCCCGACGTGCTGCTTCAGCTGCTCAGACGTGCTGCGCCTGCAGCTCAAAACGCGCCGTGGGACCTTTTGCTGCGCCTTGACGCGCGTCAACCATTGACTTTGCATGTAAACTCGCTGCTTCTGTCGCGCCAGCTACGTCCAGTGTGAACACAGCATTAGTCATTCGCTGCTAAGCTCAAAACAACCGCGCCTGGCTTGACAGAGAAACCAGGAGAACAGCTGTGCATATTTACGACAGTGCACTTTTACTTTCGCCCTCTGGGGGGAGCCTCGCTGGAAAATCAACACCGGTTGCATAGTGTACCTTTAAATACTGACATTTGGAACACAGACTTTAACTGATGTCCCAACTGAGCCTCACGGCACACTGGGTTGATCGATTTAAAGAGTCTGATTTAAAGAGTCCCGTACTGCATGCTCATCAGTTCCATGGGGGTCATCGATCAGAACGCGTCAGAAAGGCCAAACTTTTGCTTAAAATATTAAATTTACTTTTATTCTCTTTAAGAGTTAATGGAATTTACAATAATAATACTTATTGATGAAATTATTAGTCTTATAAAAAATTAAGTTACATCCTAAAATATATTTGAATTCAGAAATTTCATTACTAAAGGTAAAATATCCGATCGGGACTAGAATTCGGATCGGAGGCCTTAACTGCTGATCAGGACACCCCTAGTTTCAGGCAAATGTTAGAAAAACTTACAAGTGTTTAAACATTTACTTCATAAAATACAGATACTTAAAATACACAAAACATATACTATATAAATAAAACTCCCTCCAGTTTTAGCTCTAAAAGAGCAACAGCAAGGGTGTAAATGACGAACTTTGCAAGGAGCTGAAACATCTGCACCTGCTTTGATTTATTATGAATTGAAAAAAATCTACAACTGGGATTCAAAGAATAAAGACTCTTTGTGTAAAAAACAACTTCGAACCTCCGAATTGAAACCATAAAAATTTCAAACTGGTCAACCTTTCAGGTACTAAATTTTGTGCGTTTCTCAAACTTCCGAGCCAAATGTATCATTTGCTCCCTTCCTTCCTCAAAGATTATACAACATTACCAGTAGTTATAGGGACACTCTGGTAACTGCCTGATAGAACCATCAGGTGACGATTGTAAACCAAAAAGCTCCTTGCAAATCCATCTCCACACCCCTCTGTGAACATGCAACAAGTTACATCGAAGCAATGAATGCAGACATGTCTGCTACATGTCTGACAACGCAGTGAAGTATAATTTAGAGGGATTAGGTTGCATGACAATCGACTAGTTCTGTAATTGAATTATAACAGAGTTATGGCAAACAAACATGTAAAACAAAACATTTACTGAAAAACAAGCTACTGACAGCAGAAATTAGGACCACACTTGTACAAATATATTATATGAACTATTTTTCCATTAAAGTGTAATTATATCCCTCTCATTCATATATATATATATATATATATATATATATATATATATATATATAGATTTATTTTTACATGTTTTTCCATTTGCAATAATTTCAAATGCACGAAGTTTTTTTTTCTGATCCAAATATTTGTGATAATTTACTGTCATTTTAGAATAATCAAAATATCTTTAGATTTGGATTAATCTAACACTAAAACAGTAGAGAGCTGCAGCCCAAACACATTAGTATGTGTAAAGTAAACACTGTAAATCAACGTTTAGCCTCTAGATTACCATCTTTTAATTTCACTTACAACATAACTGAAAGGTAAACTCTCACATTTAGAAGAAAAAACCTTTACACTTTATTTCAAGCTTTAATATAAAGTAAAAATTGAAATAACGTCAATCTGTATCACTAGCTTTAGCCATAGCATTAGCGGCCTAGTTTGGGTTCACCACTGTTGACTATCAGGACCCGTAAGCGTAAACAATAGCGATTAAGCAATTTAAAAAATGAGTTGCAGACATTTGTTATATCTAATAAACAGAAAATTGTCGGTTTCTGGTCGATAATGCGGCCGTTTAAATAACGTTCCAGCAGAATTTCACGTTACTTTGACCAACAAACCTCCATAGACCTTTTGTTCTTCGGCTTCTGTCACCGTGTTCAGTTTTTCTGTCAAAAACTCATAACTCGCAAGAACAAAAACAGAGGTGATAAAAAAGCTAAACCACAGTTTAACTGAATGAAAAAGCCTAAAAACAAAGCAGTGTTCTGCCTATATTCGCCCTAGTTTATTTTTAGTCTGTGCGCACGCGGCTATCTTTAGATGCTAAGCTAACGCGCAGCTAGCTGCCGTGAACCCGCACCTAAAGCTGCTTGTGAAAACTCACCTGGACTCATCTGAGATGTTCCGGACAAACAGAGACGTGTTTGGAGGCCTCATTTATCCGGAAAAACACTAAAACCCACTCAAAACACAGGGGAGAAAAAATCCAAATCGGCTCCGAACCGAAACCGTCGAACAGACCTAAACTGTGAGGGCAGAGAGGAAGGCCGCGCAGCTGCTATGCGCCTTTTAGCTCTTCTTTGTGCAACCAGAGGCGCGTCAGCTCCACAGCGCCCCCTACCGAGCTGTCATAGATAGATAGATAGATAGATAGATAGATAGATAGATAGATAGATAGATAGATAGATAGATAGATAGATAGATAGATAGATAGATAGATAGATAGATAGATACACTATATTGCCAAAAGTATTTGCTCACCCATCCAAATTATTGGAATCAGGTGTTCCAATCACTTCCATGGCCACAGGTGTATAAATTCAAGCACCTAGGCATGCAGACTGTTTTTACAAACATTTGTGAAAGAATGGGTCGCTCTCAGGAGCTCAGTGAATTCCAGCGTGGAACTGTGATAGGATGCCACCCGTGCAACAAATCCAGTCGTGAAATTTCCTCGCTCCTAAATATTCCACAGTCAACTGTCAGCTGTATTATAAGAAAATGGAAGTGTTTGGGAACGACAGCAACTCAGCCACGAAGTGGTAGGCCACGTAAACTGACGGAGCGGGGTCAGCGGATGCTGACGCGCATAGTGCGAAGAGGTCGCCAACTTTCTGCAGAGTCAATCACTACAGACCTCCAAACTTCATGTGGCCTTCAGATTAGCTCAAGAACAGTGCGCAGAGAGCTTCATGGAATGGGTTTCCATGGTCGAGCAGCTGCATCCAAGCCATACATCACCAAGTGCAATGCAAAGCGTCGGATGCGGTGGTGTAAAGCACGCCGCCACTGGACTCTAGAGCAGTGGAGACGCGTTCTCTGGAGTGACGAATCGCGCTTCTCCATCTGGCAATCTGATGGACGGGTCTGGGTTTGGCGGTTGCCAGGAGAACGGTACTTGTCTGACTGCATTGTGCCAAGTGTAAAGTTTGTTGGAGGGGGGATTATGGTGTGGGGTTGTTTTTCAGGAGCTGGGCTTGGCCCCTTAGTTCCAGTGAAAGGAACTCTGAATGCTTCAGCATCCCAAGACATTTTGGACAATTCCATGCTCCCAACTTTGTGGGAACAGTTTGGAGCTGGCCCCTTCCTCTTCCAACATGACTGTGCACCAGTGCACAAAGCAAGGTCCATAAAGACATGGATGACAGAGTCTGGTGTGGATGAACTTGACTGGCCTGCACAGAGTCCTGACCTCAACCCGATAGAACACCTTTGGGATGAATTAGAGCGGAGACTGAGAGCCAGGCCTTCTCGTCCAACATCAGTGTGCAACCTCACAAATGCGCTTCTGGAAGAATGGTCAAAAATTCCCATAAACACACTCCTAAACCTTGTGGACAGCCTTCCCAGAAGAGTTGAAGCTGTTCTAGCTGCAAAGGGTGGACCGACGTCATATTGAACCCTATGGATTAGGAACGGGATGTCACTTAAGCTCATATGTGAGTCAAGGCAGGTGAGCAAATACTTTTGGCAATATAGTGTAGATAGATAGATAGATAGATAGATAGATAGATAGATAGATAGATAGATAGATAGATAGATAGATGGCAAGAATTTACCTCTTATATGAAATTTTTAAATAAATAAAAAAGTAAGACACAAAAGGCAACTGAGCTACCAAGGGACAATAGTCCTAAAATCAGAACATAGGTTTGTTTATTTGGTTAAACTTACTTTGATAACTATATGAAAGGTAGTTTTTGGAGTAGCTTTACTGCACCGTATCTTTTACTCTTGCTTGCGTAACATGATTAAGAATCTTCACTACATTTACTATGGAGGAAGTCAAGTAAACACAGGGGCGGATTTAGGAAATTTGGGCCCCTAGGCAAAAAAAAGGCAGTGGAGCCCTCTGAACTGAGAAGACGACACCTAAAACAGACCCATTCTACAGATAGAGAAATAATAATAGAATGGACATCCAGTATCTGTTCTAGGTTGTGTCCCTCTCTTCTTGTCCCTTTTCTTCTTGTTTTCCTCTCTATGTTTTGTACTCAGCTGACTTTTCATGCTGTCTCTAAAGGAATGAAAGATTTTTTCCAAGCACTAAGCTCACTTAGCTGATTGCTCCTTCCTGTGTTTCCAAAAAGGCCAAAGTAAATAACCCAGTCCTTCTTTTCACTGTAGACAAGCCATGATCTGCTTATCTGTTCTCCATTTTTCATTTGGATGAAATAATAGCTGCATGAATCATGACAGCAGACAAGATAGAGGAGAGCAGGAGGCGGGGTTACCAATCTACTTGCTCTGGAGAGCAGAGTTCGCTGCTTTTAGATGTTGTCTCCAAAGTCTCCAGTAGCAGAAAAAAGTCTCTAGATTTGGCGCTAGGAGCTTTTTAGAAATCAAAGTGCTAGAGGGGTCTGAAAAGTGGCTAAATATAGCGACTAAAGTTGTTTTAAAATAGTTTGCTGCTGTCTGTTTGGACCTTTCTGAACATGTGCAGCAAATGGACTGATCCAATATGGTGGACACTGAAGGGGGGGGCTGAGACACACTTAATATTATCAGCGTTCTGATGGCGTTTTATGTTTTAATCAAAAATTTTATTAATGTGAACAAATAAGGAATAGTTGTATTAACTACAGGCTGCTAAGTGTCACAGGGGGTAGAACTGCTGTCTTGCAGCAAGAGGTTCCGGGTTTGATTCCCGGCCCGGGGTCTTTCTGCATGGAGTGTGCATGTTCTCCCTGAGCATGCCTGGGTTCTCTCCGGGTACTCTGTCTTCCTACAGTCCAAAAACATGACTGTTAGGTTAATTGGCATCTCTAGATTCTCCTTAGGTGTGTGTGTGAATGGATGTTTGTCCTGTTTGTCTCTGTGTTGCCCTGTGATGGACTTATGAGCTTTCCAAGGTGGACCTCGCCTCTCGCCCGTAGACAGCTGGAGCACCAGCATCCCACGTGACCCCAGCTGCGATAAGCGTGATGGAAAATGGACGGATGTATTAACTATAAATGTAAACAAGGGCCCAAAGATCCCCGGGAACTTGGGGCAACTGCCTAGTATTGCCTAATGGTAAATCCCCCCTGAGTGAACATATAGTTTATTGAGACTGGAAGAACTTTGCTCTGTTCTTACATACAGTATATTGCCAACAGCAGAATCTCTTTCATGACTTCAGGTTTATAAAGTTTAACTGACCTGCACAACCTTTGGGATTAATTTAGCCAGAAGCTCTTTTTTACTTTTACTTCAGTAAAATATCCATTGAAAAAGTGAAACTCACTTAGTTGAGTAAAATTTCTGGCTTTTCCACCCACCCCTTTAGTAAGAGACACAAAAGATTGTTTAACTAAAAACATCTGACTGAGATCACACGCCTAAATTTAACTTCATTTATTGTTTTAGGAATATAATCTAATAAGTATAATTGCATTTGTTTGTGGAAAAGCTGAAAGAGAGGCTTTTTCATTATTGGGATCATTATTATGATGAGCTTTAAGCTTTTTCAATTCAAAATGTCAGAAGTAGTGTTGAGTTCCAGGCTATCATACAGCAGCCCAACAAAGCCTTTAGCAAACATGCAAACTGAACCGGACGATCGAGTCCGCCTCTTTGGAATTGGGCAAACCTAAAGAAACAAAATGACCCGATCGACCGGTTCAATCTGCATGTTTTCTGATCCAAAACAAGGCTTTGTTTTGGTCCACTCTATAAAACCTGGAACTCAACGCTATTTCTGACATTTTGAATATATAAAGCTTCCTGGATGGGAAGAGAAACGTCTTCAAACTTGGAAACAAAGTCCAGTGGATTGTTTTTTTTTTACTTTTTTGGAATGACCATGACCCGGATGACTGAGTATATTCACAAGCATGTTGTCATGGAAACTTGGTGATGAGAAAACAAGAGCCAGACCCCTAAAGAAGGACAATCCTCCCCTCCTGGCTTGGTATGTCAAACCGTCCCTTTTGCAGACTCACCTTAACTTCTTATAAATTCACAATCATTCATATGATCAGCTTAAAACTTTCTGTAACATTTCTTGACCTGGACTGACAGAGGATCAAAGGAAAAAAAAAAATTGGAGCCATTTTTTTTTTAACTTCAAATACCGCAGACATAAAAGAAAAATCTTTATTTATTCTAACAGTGTTTGTGATCAAATAAAGATCAACATCTTTAGGAGGAGACATCCAGAGCTGCTTGCAGTGGCTCCTGTGCCGCTCAGGCTCGTTTGCTTCTGCTGATGAAGGTTACAGTTCCAGCTGTGGCCATCTGGGGAGACAAAGAGGCAGAATGGAGAAGAAGAGTAAGGATAGCTGCAAAAATATAAATAATAATAATAAATATTTCCATTGGTCTCTAACCTCGATCATCTCGTCGCCTTGGATCTCTCGGACAGAAGTGAACTTGTTGGTCTCACATATCAGCTTCCCGTTTTCTTCCCTGACGGTGCACTGTTCCAAAACAGGAAAACTGCATGGATAAGTGGATCCTAACACACCCAGATGTTTCCCCCTGTCCCACTGATCTCTATTTATTCAATGGATTCTTGATTGAAGCCACTGCCCGCCATATTGGTTATCCTTACTCCCACGAATACGCGCTGTAAAAATGCCTAAATAGCATTTGGCTGCAAAAACAAGCAGTTTGTCGGCTATTGGAAGACCTTTTAACAAAAAAACTGACAGGAAAAGGGGTATGAGAGAGGGGAGAGACATGCAGGAAAGGACCACAGGCCAGATTCGAATCCGTGTCGCCCGTGTTAGGCTTATTCTTTTATACATCATGTGCATTGTGACTTTGTTAGCCAGATTAGAGATAATAGAAGGCTTTCCTTCACATTGTGGATGTCACCATATGGAAGGAGGTCATCTAAATAGGACAGCCTTCTTGTCTTTTAAAGATACACAGGATATGGGAACATCTTGGAGCCGGACTGATAGAGGAGAGCTATCTGTAATCCTTGGGCATGGATGGCGTGTCAGTTTCTGATACGGACAGCTAAGCATCCACCTGGTGCAACACATAGACTCATAAGGTATAAGAAGCAGGAGATGACCTTGTTCTGGGCTCAAACTTTGCCGGACGCTCGCGGAAGTGATTATTTAAGCCCACAGCTGTGCAAGCTCCAAGCATTCTCTCTGTCCTGTAACGACCTGATCTGGAATAAACTCTCACTTTTTTACTCCTGCTTTATAGTCCTTTTTTACGTGGTTTTACCCAGCTTAAGTGAAGTGTAGTAAATAAAGAACCGGTGGGGAAGTCCCAAGGCGCAACTGCCTTCAAGGGGACATAACTTCCTCATTTAATACCCGTGTTGAGAACTAAGGCCTCCGTACATGGGTCGTGCGCGCTAACCCCGGCACCACCTGCACGCCACTTTATGTAAAATCTGGAAATCATGTGTAAGATGTTATTACCATAACAATGTAATAAATACATGTATATAACATGTACATTTTCAATTTAGCACTTTTGGCAAATCAGTATTATTATGCTCCATTAACACATTCATTTTATTGTGATGGATTTGTATAATATGTTAGATTACATGACTTCATAATGACTATGCAATGTGACATGACTATTTTCTTATTATAAGTTAAAATAATATCTTTATGCTATAACATAACAGCAAGTGTGAGTCAAAGTGATGAATTTATCTTTATTTCTATCTAAATGAGAACATCATCGTTGTTCGATGCTGTAGCACACGGATTATTTACATTCTAGCTGACCAAATCTACGTTATGATAGTTATTGTGAAGTTCAATCAATAGCGCATATATTCACCTGTGAACTGATGATGTCTGTGTTACAGACCCTGGTTGAGCGCACTGAAGAATATATGAAAATAAAGAATAGAATCTTTTATTGTATTTTAAATAGGCTTAAAGGCTCTTAGGTCTTTTGTTCAAAAACAACAAACTTCCACAGCACCTCCTTTTCAAAAGTACTCCCAGCAGCCCTGCTTCTAACGGTTTGCTTTTTGCTGTAGTTCAGATGATCTTAGTTTTCTCTCCGTGGTCAAAGAGGAGCCCACCTGGAAATCACCTGGCTGCCCTATTCTCTGCCTCCGTTGTTCGCAGGAGGAGTTTTTATTGGTTACCTTCAACTTCCTGCCATCCAGAGAGCAGATTTCCGACTCCTTCCCGATGGAGAAGTGGTTGACCCTGGTGCAGAACGGAGTCTTCATGGTGCAGGTGAAGTCCATGCCATTCTGCTCGATCACCATCACTGGTTTCACATCCTTACGCATCTTCACGATGATCTCAGGAGCTCCTGTAAGGCAGGTTTAAACACTTCAGGTCGGTTCAAGAGGAGAGGGGAGCTTTATCTGGAATCCTCACCTATGACTTTGAGGAACTCCTCCAGGTTCTCCTCAGAATAGACCTTCCAGGTGCCGCTGAAGTCCATGTCTGCTGGTTGTGTTGTGCGTTCACAGGTTAAAGCCGCAGTGACACCAGCTGCTGGTTGGCATGTTGGGGACTCCCTGTTATGTGTCAGTGGGATTTCCTTTGAGAACTTTGCTTTCCAGCAGCGCAACACTTTCTGCATGCCTCATTACGCCGCCTTTCCTCACCGCGTTCCACACAAACATCATCATGTTCGTATGTCAGCGCAGCTTCGGTTTTTTCCAGTGAACCTTGTCCTCTGTAGGCTGCCTGAGCAGCACTCAGGGACCATTCTGATGTTAAACGTCTTGCTCGGGGGCCCAGAGTGGCAGTCAAAGCCATTTGAACAAAGCTGGTTCTGTTCTGATAAATCCTCTAAAACAGCTGGAAAGTATTTAACAAAGAACAAACCTTCATCGTTGGGAACAGCCGCGAGGATCATCTTCATCAGACTGTCAAACAACAACTGTGTCTTCAACCAGAGGATCTCCAGATCTGCTGTTTAACAGAAGATCTCTTTCCGCTGATAACGACAACAACTCGAGATTAAACTCCTATATGATCCAATTTTCCTTTTAGAGCAATAAAGTACTTTGAAATTAACCCTTTAAAGCCCGATCCAAGAATAAAACAAAACAGAAAATTACTTTTTTTTGGTTTGAAGTCCTTATTTGGCCTTTTAAAAAAATATGTAAAAAGAAAAAACAGATACGTTTTTGATATTAATAATTTATTACTATGCGATAAGTCAAGATTATTTTTTGTGTAGTCTTCTACTGGCTGTTATCAGGTATATCTGATTGTGTACAATAGGATTTTGAGCAAAGTTTTTACCATTAAATTATGCAAAAGGTGTCAGACGCAAAACATTTCAGAAACCGTATGTATCAAATATGATGCACTGCAAAAAATTTCAATCTTAATAAGTAAATTTTTCTTAAAACCAGTGCATTTTTTCTTGAATTGGGGACTTAAGTGAGACACTTTGCCAATGGAACAAGACAATTTACATTTGAAATAAGAAAAAATAATTGCATTTTCTTATTTCAAGTGAATTTTATCTAATTATCTTATTTTAAGAGTAAAAATACTCATTCCATTGGCAGATCCTCTTACTTACCTATTTTAAAATATTTACTAATTTCTAGATTGTTTTTGCAGTGTACGTTTGGCATTATAGGGTTAAAGTGAATTGTTAGCTTAGCATCCTACAGAAGAGGATTAGGGCCACTGGAAAAAAAAAGTTAACCGATTTGTAAATTTTAGTTTAACATGGAAAAAAAGTCAGAATTCTGACTTGAATCTCAGAATTGTGGATCTTAATGTAGATGGGCACCATGAAGGAAGAGATGTGGAGCACTCAGCTTCACTGACACAGATGTGAGTTGTTTGAGGTGGCCAGTGACACATTGGTGGAAAATGACAGAATTAGGCAACTTTTTACGTGCCCGAGGGGTCCCCCCATTAATGGAGGAGCAGAAGGTCATTAAAACAAGAGAGCTAGTCTCTAAAACAGACATGGCTATGGCTTGATGCTAACATGTTTCACTGCAAAAACGATCTAGAAAGAAGTAAAAATTTCTTAAATTAAGTGTATTCACCTTTGAGTAGGTTAATGAGCTAGTTTGCCAATGGAATGAGTAATTTTACTCTTAAAATAAGATAATTAGATAATATGCAGTTGAAATAAGACAATGCAATAGTGTTTTCTTATTTTAAGCGTAAATTATCTTGTTCCATTGGCAAAATGTCTCTTTTACCTCCTCAATTCAAGAACAAATGCACTTATTTTAAGAAAAAAGGACTTATCTAGATTTAGATTTATTGCAGTGTTGTTAGCTGTCAGAATTCTGAGATTAAAGTCAGAATTTTGACTTTTTTTCCATATTAAACTGAAATAAAATGTAAAAATCAGTTAACTTTATTTTTTTTTTTCAGGGGCCCTAATCCTCTTCAGTAGCATCCTTGCAGTAAGAAGGTCCAAGATTTAAATCCTAACCAGACCTCTTTCTGCTCAGTTTGTATGTTCTCCTTATGCATGGTTGGACTCCCCCCTGGTACTCCAGCTTCCTCCAATGCATGGTTTGATATATAGAGCAGCAGAGGAGTCAAAAGTATTATTATTTATTACTCCAGTAGAAATATAAATCCTACTGCTTTAAAAATAATTTTGTAGAAGTTACAGGATCAACTTTTTACTCAAGTAAAAGTATAAAAGTTTTTAAAACTACTTCAATTATAAAAATCCAAGTAATGAAGGAAAAAATGTTAGGACAGATGCTTTAAACTTTATACTGTTACTGCGCAACTGTATTTTTTTATACTTTAAGGAAAAGTCGCTCATATTCAGAATTCAAACTTCTGAAAGTTCTTTAAATCTGAAATGATTCCATCCTGTTCAATAAATGATCAGTGTTTTTAATTCAGAGTAATTTTCATGTGAATGTGCTTTACTGGAGGCATCCATGTTTGTCAAAGAATACTACTGCCACCTACTGGTTAGTGACATTGTCACGGTGCGGTATCGGCTGTTGATCAAGTCCCAGTGCTGTATCTGGTGTTTGTCACAACGCGCTATTATCCAAGTCATCTTGAAAACATTCTTCTTCCAAATGTTGGCTACATATTACGGGTTTTTTCTCTGGCCAGAAGTTCGATGGCAAATCCTCCCTCTTCAAGTTGGCGATCCAACGACCAACCTGTCCGTGGAGGATCAGGAATCAGAAAGGTGGAATAACTCTTTTTTTTCACTTTTCCCCGATGTATTCCAGCATCCAGCTGCCATGCACGTGGGCATTGTCAGTTTCACTATAGCTCTGGTGAATTTCAATGGTGAAGTCCTCTGGAAATCTTCAATAATTGTTGTTGATTGCAGATGTGTCTAGTAGTTCCCATTGATTTAGCTTGTAAAGCGGGGAGAATGGCGCTAGGCTTACCGCACCGTGACGTCACTGCTGGAAGATGGCAGGAGGGAGGGGTTACTATAATAGGGCAAAAAAGGCCTTCTAAAAAATAAGAAAAAAATATAGTGTTTTAAGTGAATAATTGCTTATTTTGAGCAAAATAATCTGCCAGTGCAGCAAGCAAATGGGACTTGGTAAGATTTCTTAAAACAAGAACATAATATCCGAGTAGTAAGCATCGAAAAAAACTTCAATCTAGTAGAAAAATCTATTTTTTCTTTTACTTTTTAAGATTTTTTCTCTTATTTTAAGCAATGTATTCTCATTTATTAGTCATTATTGCTTAGAATTAAATGTCCTCTAACCGATTATTGCTCAAAACAAGCATACAACAGGCTTATCCGTCAGGCTTAAAACTAGTCTGTTTTTCTTAGCTAGAATTAATTTCATTATTTAGGTGTAGTGAATGACAAACTTCAAAACATTTTTTTTATTAATATTTTAGCAGAAATGTCACAGAATTAAGCGAAATACAATCTCAATGACCCTATCAATTTGAATGCAATCACAGTTGATTAGCTGGAATATCTTAATGATATGGGGTCAGTTCTTAAAACAGGTTAATATGGATCGTCTTATTGTCTTGAAACAATAAAAAATTTAATCACAGTCTAAATGTTAACACACTGCAAAAACGATCTAGAAATGAGTAAAAAATTCTTAAATTAAGTGTATTCACCCTTAATTTGAGTAGGTAAATGAATACTTTGCCAATGGAATGAGTATTTTTACTCTTAAAATAAGATAATTAGATAATATGCACTTGAAATAAGACAATGCAATTGTGTTTTCTTATTTTAAGTGTAAATTGTCTTGTTCCATTGGCAAAATGTCTCTTTCACCTCCTCAATTCAAGAACAAATGCATTTATTTTAAGAAAAAATGACTTTTCTAGATTTAGATTTTTTGCAGTGCACGACTCAGTCCACAATGTGTGATATTTTAAGAAAAAAGCTGCTCAGAATTAGTTTTATTATCTAGTTAGGATTAAAAAGGTGAATTTTCTTAAAACAAATCAAATACTCTTAACAATATTCAGTCTTACTAAGAAAATACACTGGAAAAACATGTGTAATAAGACCAAAATGCTGAATTCAAGTTTATTACACTTGTATAGATTTTCCTTTTTTGCAGTCAGTGAACGCAACAAAAATTATTTTTATTTTTTTACCTATTAACGCTAAATTCATTGAATCACTGCCAGTGTATTAATATTAGGTATAAAAAATGAATCATTGATTATTTCTTGCTGACCCACTTTTCCTTTAAAACCCACAGAAACAACAAACTGAACACATTTCGCCATAAACCTTTTTTTTAATTAAAGCTCTTCAATTGATAGACGTTTACAACACCAAACATAAAAGCAGAAAACACAGGCAGCAGAAGCTAAGGCAGCAGTTGTAGGAGGTGCAAACATTAAACCTCCATTTAAAGTTTTAAAGCAAGCTCAGTTAGGATGAAGATGAAGAAACGTCACATCTCCGTCTGTAAACGGCTCCAAACACTTCAGCTCATCAGACACCGCTTTCTGCCTGAGGAAACACGACGCAGCAGGGAGCGGCTATTAGAACAGAAGGTAGTTGGGTTCATTTGGACTAAAGGTCAGAACAACGTGTGCAGTTTTCCCCTGAAGGACTGGATCTGTGCTTTCTGTCTGAGCAGCAGTGAAGGATGATGGGATTGATTTTTATCGCCTAGTGTTTCCACTCAATCCTTCAGAAGGTTTTAGTTTTTTAAATAGCAGGTACAAATATGTTGAGGCAAAGATTTTGCAGAAGCTCGCATTAAAACACACTTAATTTAATCTTCAAGCGCGTGTGATTGGCTAAGAGTCTCAACGAATGGAACGTCCTGATATAATAAAGCTTCAGGCTGGAAACGAGGATAGAAGTCTGACCCGGCCACTAGAGGGCGTTAGTGGTGGAACATCATCAGGCAGTTACGGGAGCATCAGACGGTCTGGAGTAGTGAGTGTAAGTCAGAAATAACCAATAATCTAGGTCTTCCTGGAAGCAGTAATGCAAAGAAACGACCTGCTTCAGGACTTTTTTGCAGTGTTACTCTAATAGAGAACTCCTTCCTTTGTGCTTTTTGGAGGTGGCGTTTCGGCCCGCCTCACCGCTCAACCCCTGAAGATTTCTTTGGTTCTGAAAACGCGGACCTGCATCAGTTCATATCACGCATCACTAACAAACGTCGTCGGCAGCCCAGACGAGCGCCCTTCATCACGACGGCGTATCACGGCTTCCTTCCTCATCGTCGTTAGGGCCGGGATCGCTGAGGCAGCGGGACGGTTTCTGCCTCGCCGATTGGTCGTCGGACTGAGGCGACTCTTGAAGCAGGGAGACTTGGTCAGGGCGGCGGGGATTCAGCTGGACAGCTCCCCCCCCTGGGCTCTCGCTGTCATCGTAGGTGTAGACTTTATGCTCTGAAAATAAAGATGGACGTCAGTTAGCAGACAAGACGGAAAAAAAAAAAAAAGTTACGTTTTCAGAAAGTTTGAACGATTTTTATGGCGTTAGCGCTAGCTAATAAACATAGATCACCAGCTGATCACATTTGTTTGCTTCGACAGAAACCTCACGTTAACGCCTCAAAAAACGTTATAGCAGAGACGCAGTGAGGCGTGGTCGACTTTTCAAGATGGCAACATCCATGGGTGACAAATATAACAGCAGTGTATTAAAATTATGAAGATATGTCAACATTTCTGAGGTATTTTTGAGTTTTTAAATATCATAAAAGGTTAATAGGAACATGAAAAATTACAACATATTTAGGCAGAATGATTTTAATAATCTAATAAGTCAATAAGTTAATAATAAATCTAGTAAATCATTGTTTTCCTGTTTGTAGAGAAACATTTTAATATCCAGGGATATATATATCTATTTTTATATCAAAGGGAAGTATATTCCCGGACATTACAACTTTTTTTTTTATGCTTTTTTGTACTATATACACTTTTTATATTGTCTGTCATATTTCTATCTTTAACGGCATCTTGCTTTAACTCTTTATGCTCTATATAAGCTACTGGAACCAGAATTTCCCCCAAGGAGTAATAAATAAAGTTGAGTCTAAGTCTATGATCCGTTATCCTAAGAGCATGGGCGGTTCTAGACAGGGGCCAACGGGGGCCAGGGCCCCTGTAGCGAATTTCCTGGCCCCTGTTATGGCCATAATACTCAAAGAAATTCTAAAGATGACATGCCCTGCAACAGGCATGGTTACTGATAGGTCCTTTGGATCTATTTCATTGTTTTCTTTACAAATTGTATTTTATTAACTATTTAAAAAACAATAAGGTGATAGCGTCAGTGGTATTGAGATATGATCCCAGTTTTCATCTGCTAAACGTTTTTTTTCAAAACAAATTAATAACATACTCAATTTTTTTACAGCTGAATTTAACAGTTTTTCTTAAATTCTAATTCAGATTTTATAGAAAACTGTCATTTTTAACATAAATTAAGTCATAAATATGTAAAATTCCAAAATTCTGAATGTATATTCACCTAATAAGACATTTAGAATTTTAATGAAACTTAATTGAATGGACGTCTAACTTCATGAAGCTATCCTGTTTTTTATTTCATGCTTTTCTGTGCCCCCATGAAAACACACTGACCCCCTCCTGGCCCCCCCGGTACATTTGGTCTAGAACCGCCACTGCCTAAGAGAAGCTCTGATGCTGCATGGGTTAGATCATGTTCAATCAAACCGTTTTAACAGTTGGCCTGACTGTCAAACATTGGTTTCATTTAAAAAGTACATTTTTATTCTGCTTGGTTCATCAGATTTACATCAAAGCCTCCACAATTCCTTTCAACATCAGGAGCGCCTCCGAGCACCCTCTGGTGGGCAAACTTTGTAACAACATCTATGTTTTGTGACAAAGGAACATAAAATTTGAACTTGAATCATTTGTGTTTAAAGTTTAAAGCTTATACACCATATTTGATGAGTAAATAACAACAAAGACAGAATATTTGCATGTCAAAGAAGGATAAAACTCAAGCTTTTTACACGATGATAAAACTTCAACACAGTACCTTTAATGTTTGTTTCTCTATTTATGGTCTTATGATTATAAAATGTCACTATAAATAATTGAATGTTTCATTTTTTTAGTACAAATCTCAAATCTTTGAATAAAAGACGAAAGTGTAATGAATTAGGGGAAATTGTCCCGTTTCCATGGAAACTCACCAGGTTCGAAGCAAACTTTCCTCACTGAGGGGGTCTCCTGTCGCTTTGCAGGGACAGTGAGGTAGTGGCTCATCTGTAGGAGACAGAAATCAGCAGAATTTAATGGCCAGGAGTCCAGAGAGTTGGACGGGATGTAGAACTGGAGCCGTTCTATCGGCTGAATAAGAGCAGAGTCACAGAATCACACAAAGACAACGATCCTGCTGTGGCTGCCTGCTTAAGCCTGATCAGAAAAGAAAAAAAAAGGTACAAACTGGGATTCTTAGCAAGTTAAAAACAGAAACTCACAATTCCTGTATTTAGTAGGGGTGTAAATCACATCCATCATGGCGATTCAGTATCGATTTCCTGACCCAACGATTCGATTATTTTCGATACTCAAGAATACACCACGATTCGATTCATCGACTAATTTTTTTTTAATTATTATTATTATTATTTTTACACCTTACAGGCTAAACAAAGTTTCAAGTTTGAAATAAATCAATGAAAGCTGTAATATCATTATGCATTTTCTTTAGAAACAAAAGCAAATAACAGAAGTAGAAAAGTTGCATCAAAAAATACTGCACAATATCAGTGTAATGAGTGCAATGCAATACCTCGGCTCCAGAGAAACTGTCCAACATATTTTTTTTAGAATGTAATAAATATACTCAGGAAAGAGAGATGTTGCTTAGAGAGTTAGACAGGAATAAAAATAAACTAGATATGGGAATTGTTTCAAAGGTCATCTGGGGATGTAGTTTTTGGGAGTATTTTTAATTTTCTAAGAAGAACGGGTATTTTAAGGAGAATATAATAGTTTTTCTGGTCCATACTGCATTCTGGAAGGTGGCGGTAATGCACCTATAAGTTGTTTGCCAACCGCCATTAAAAAAAAGAAGAAGAAGAAGGCTCCAGAGTGTCGACGTCACCGCCCCCTTGAGAGACGCTCCGCTGCACCTCTCCCAGATTGTTTGGATCGATGCATCGATACAAAACGATTATTATTTACACCCCTAGTATTTAGAGAGGAAAAACATTCTTTTGATTTTTTTTACTGATTAATGCTAAATTCATTAAATCACAGTGAACATATTAGATTTAGCTATAAATAAGGATCAATTGGTTATTCCTTGCTAAACAGACGTTTCCTTAAGGATTTTGACAAAGCTCTAAATACGTTTTTTTGCTAATTTGTTACCGTGTTTTTGCTGTCCTACTTCCAATTATAGATGTCCCACTTCGTCAGAGATTTGGAGACGCTATATTGTTCATGGTTCCTACAGCATAAGGCAAGTTAAATTCAAGCTTTTTAAGACTTTTTAATGCCACTTGAAATAAAAATTTAAGACCAAATTCACAAGAAACAAAAGAAAAACCCGCTTGCGACAACTTAACCCAAAGGTTTATTTTAACATAAACCACTGCACTAATGTTTCACATTTTGAAAAGCTTCCCATACAGGAAGAAAGCTAAAAACACACAAATGACAGATATATTTTAACAATTATTTAACTGAATTCACAAACTTTGTTTTAGCAGGGAACAAAACAAATCAGTTTAAAAGCCCCAACATAACCAGTGCTAAGTCTTTTTTGCAGCTATTTTTCTTTGTATGGTTTTCTTAGTATGTTTGATTTGGTGATAAGTGGAGGCGTTGCAGAGACAAGGGTGGAACTAAACTGAGAAATACCGGCTGTTTCTCTCCATTTAGAGAGAAAGTTAAACTCCATTTAGACGCCTTGTGTTTCGTGCTTCGCATGCGTGACTCCACTGCCTTAATTCCCATCGTTCCGAGCTTGGATGACTTCTTGCACAAAATCCACTGAGCCTCATGTATGTTCCCTGGTTTTAGCCATGGAGAAAACTCTTGGCTGGAGACAATTTTGGTTACATTTACACTTGCTCATATTTTCCAGATAAAAAGTTAATGGTGCATCTCCCAAATGTCCCGGCAGCAACAACGCTTTTATTGGTTCCGCTATCGGGACGGAACCAATAATGGCGAACCATTACTTTTTTTTTTTTAAATAAAAAAAAAATTGTCAATTTTAACGTTTTATTTAGATTACAAAAATAAATCGTAATAAAAATTATCCTATTTATGATGTTTTAAAAATTAAGACCTACGAAAGACTGATTTAAGACATTTTAATACCAATTAAGGCCTTAATTTTATTTTGAAGAATTCAATGCCTTTTAAGACTTTTTAAGGACCCGCGGGAACCCTGATTAGACACGTCGTCTCGATCAACTGCTCCTCTTTCACGTCTTTCTCTGCAGCGTGCTGGTCATGTATTTTCCTCATGGTAGTTTGCCTCACAAGTAGTTTGTAAGATGGGTCACCACTAAAAGCCATTACACTGAGCCTGGTTCTGCAGGATGTTTCTTCCTGTTCAAAGGGATTTTTTCCTCTCCACTGTCGCTACAAGCATGCTTAGTGTGAGGGATTGCTGAAGAGTCAATGAGTCGATGCAATCAGCTGGTTTTCCTTAGATAGAAAACTTTGAATCAATCTGACTGGATGATCTGGTGAACTGGAAAGTGCCCTGAGATGACATGATGTGAATTGGAGCTATAGAAATTAACTGAATAGAATTGAACCTGTGGGCGAGCCCATCCGCTTCAACCACACTGATGGGCTGGCAGCTGGTGGCTATCGTCTGAGCAAGGAGATTGGTTAGCTTGGCTGATAGAGTTTTGCTTTTAGCAGCATCCCTGGCAGCTCGTCATGTTCGATGTGGTAATTTCAGTAATAGGCCTACACAGATTGGAAGACTTATTTGTGCAGTGTGTTGCAGTGAGCTTGTAGCAGATATTTTTGATTTATGCCCAATATTGAAGCGTGGTCTGTGCTGTTATTCCACGGCACAAAGAAGAGGGCCAATGGCGAACTAGCTGTGGGTCTAGATACAGCCGAGGCGGTGAGGAAGTGGGGACAAGTTTGTGTGACAACGGAGGGACATGAAGGCCAAAAAGAGCGGGGATCCAGGTGGAAAAAGGGTCCCAGCGTTCTCGCGCACCTCGCTCTGCTAGCTGGTCCATCTTCACAATGGCGGTCACACAAACAGAACAAGCCGGTAAGGGACCAAACAGGAAGTACGCATAGAGCAGATAGATTTGACCAATCAGAGGCCTCCTGTCTGCGGTCACCTACAATTTTGGAGATGTGCAGTAGGGATGGGTATTGCCAAAGACGTCACGATTCGATTAGAATCACGTTTCAAATGCGATTCTATCACGATGCATCACGATACTTGAATTATTGCGATGCATTGCAATATTTTCTCCTCCATGTTTTGTTTTTGAATGACTCGGCGCAGTATCCCGCGGCCGGAAATGTTTGTGACACAAGGCAGCGTGCGTCAACACATCCGCAGCGACATCTACTGGACTGGAAGTGTATAACACTTGTTTTTGGCTGATGTTCGCCAACCATTCATGCAGTTTTATTTATTAATTTTTTTAAATTAATAATCGATACTTGGCGTCAAGAATCGATGCAGTAGATCACGAAAATTAGAATCACGATGCATCATCATGACGATTATTTTGCACACCCCTAATGTGCAGCAGAGTGTCTGCAGAGGGCGAGGGGATCATATCTGCGTTAACTGAAACACACACGCAGACGACCTGGTTTCTGAGTATAAATCAGCATTTAGTCTGGCATTAACGCAGCGCATTAATCACTACTAACATATAAATGTATCTAATGAGCACAAACTTAGATATTATTGCTAATTATTAACCTAAATAAGCAAAGAAAATACATTTAAAAGTGGAAATCAAAATCCAAGACGAAGCTAAAAAGTAACATTAAAAGTGGAAAACTATTTAAATAAAAACAAAAAAGCTTCAACAATTTTTTTCTGTTTCGTGATGTGGAGGCAGGTGCTGATCCAGAAACACGTCGGGATCAGAACCTGCTTTACTCCCCTAGTTTAGGAGGAACCTACCCGCCTCTCCATCTCCACCCTCTGCTTCCTGAAGCGAACTTCACTCATGTCGTCCTCAAACGGGTCCATGAAGAGGTCGTGTCTGCTGTACGAGCGCAGCTGGGAGGGGGAAACAAAGAAAGCATGACAAACCGCTTCCTGCCGTGGAGACCGGAGCCTCTGTTGGGCTGCGAGGCGTCTTCCTCACCCTTTGCCGGGTGTTCTGCAGGTTGGCCCGCAGGATCTTCCGGATCTCGGCCTCGCGGGTCTTTGAGATCCGCGGGATCGCTCGTGGTCGGGCCTCTTCCTTCTGTTGCTGGTTGATTCTTTAGGAAAGAGCAGAAATAACTATTAAGCTTAAAAACACAAAATCACCAGAATTAGACTCTTCTGTTAAAAAATGAGAAAAAAATAATAATAATTGAACTTTTTTGATCTCACATTGGAGAAATTTACCTCTGCATTTAACCCACCCCCATGGGGAGCAGTCTGGGGGTTAAGGGTCTTGCTCAGGGACACAGAGTGGCAGTCTGTGGGAGTGGGTTTAGTGCCCTAACCACTAAGCCGCTACTCCCCAAAAGCTTCTATGAGCTCAGAAGAGGAGGATCCACTCATGGTTGTGATACTTTGGGCCTAATTTTCCTGAATCTGGATGCATAAAAGGTTAAAAATGCTCTTGGACAGTAGTTTACATGAGTTTTCCTTTGCAATAAAACAGCTGGTTTGAGTTTTAGGCGTAAGAATCTAAATTCATACCATTTAAAATAATAAAGATTTTTATAAATTAAATGAATATCCACTAATATTTTTTTTACATGTTTGGCATTAAAAATGTCTATAAGTTCTTATCCTTCATTAAATTTCAACTAATACTTGAGTAAAAAGTTACAGTGTTGCTTTAACTTTGCACCCAAGCAGGGGCGGATTTACCATTAGGCCAAAGTAGGCAGTTGGCTAGGGCCCCAAGTTCCTGGGGGCCCCATAAAACCCCTTTTACATGTTTGGTTAATACAGCTATTTGTGCATTTATTATGTTTTCGATTAAAATGCCATCAGAACGCTGATAATATTAAGTGTGTCTCAGCCCCCCCTTCAGTGTCCACCATATTGGATCAGTCCATTTGCTACACATGTTCAGAAAGGTCCAAACAGACAGCAGCAAACCATTTGAAAACAAACCATGCAAAGAGCAGTGTTGCCAACTTAGCGCTTTAGTCGCTATATTTAGCCACTTTTCAGACCCCTCTAGCACTTTGATTTCTAAAAAGCTCCTAGCGCCAAATCTAGAGACTTTTTTCTGCTACTGGAGACTTTGGAGACAACATCTAAAAGCAGCGAACTCTGCTCTCCAGAGCGAGTAGATTGGTAACCCCACCTCCTGCTCTCCTCTATCTTGTCTGCTGTCATGATTCATGCAGCTATTATTTCATCCAAATGAAAAATGGAGAACAGATAAGCAGATCATGGCTTTTCTACAGTGAAAAGAAGGACTGGGTTATTTACTTTGGCCTTTTTGGAAACACAGGAAGGAGCAATCAGCTAAGTGAGCTTAGTGCTTGGAAAAAATCTTTCATTCCTTTAGAGACAGCATGAAAAGTCAGCTGAGTACAAAACATAGAGATGAAAACAAGAAGAAAAGGGACAAGAAGAAATGTAGAACAAATAATGTATAGCTTATTCTATTAAAATGTATGTATCTGTACAATTTGTCTGTTTTAATGTGTCGTCTTCTCAATTCAGAGGGCCCCCTACCTGTCTTTGCCTAGGGCCCCAAATTTCCTAAATCCGCCCCTGTATCAAAGTATGTTTTTAATCTGAGACATAACTTCTCTACCCGATCCGTCCAGGAAGCACGATCCGTCCTGCGCCATCACCTCATTGGCGCATCCAGATATACATCCAGGTCGCCATCGATTTTATTTTGTTAAAAAGACCTAAATGACGTTTTCCCCTCCCCCAAAAATAGTTAACGTCCTAAAATATAATGAGTTAAAGGTTAATAATGTATTTCCTGAGAAAATAAATGCCTTAAAATCATTTCCGTTTTATAAATTGCATGTTCCCAATCTGCACTGGAAATGGGATCCTACGCTACTTCCAGTGGCTAACGTTTTTGGCTTTGGATTTAAACATCAATCTAGTCTTTTTTAGTTTTAATGTTCTAATGTTTACTTCTGACATTTTGAATTGAGAAAGCTTCCTGGATGGGAAGCGAAACTCTGACTTTTAAGGTTCCAACAGGTTTGATTCCAAAACACTGAGGCAGAGTGGTTGAATTAGCAACAGTGCAGTGCTGCTAGTGACCTTCAAGGGCGCTAAATCTGGAACTTCCAGGTCTAGCGCCCCTGGTGGCTCAGAGTTACACAGTGTTGCTTTAATAAATCATTAAACTATTGAATAGCTGCAGCCCTAAACGCTGAAAGTTCTCCTGGACTGTTTTGTGTGTCTGGTGATTCCAGCTTCTGATACACGTTTCGTTCTGTTGAAGATCGTTGTTTCTTTCCTGTTAGCTAAGTATGGTGGCGTTTCCATAGAATAAAGACATAAATGCTGTTTGGCAAACTAAACCCAACCTGTCTGCACAAGTTCATGACAGATTCGATTGGACTGCAGGTAAAAACAGCAATAGTGAATCAAATAAAGAAGCTCATGGTTCTGTTTGCTATCTGATCCATAATTGAAGACAAAAACTCACTGGGCCGCAGCGACGGACGGCAGCTTGGCGGCGTTCCCGCTCTCCACCAGCATCATGGCCTGCTTCATCTCCAGCTTGTTGTAGAACGAGATGAGCTGCGGCTCGTTGTATCGCTCGCCGGCGATCAGCCACTTCTTCATGTACGTCTTGTTGAAGCGAAGTAACCTGAATTAGAAACATCATTATAGGAGATTCTCCCAAGCTGGTTAGTACAGTTAGAAAGAAGATTGGAGGCTGAGAATTTATGATAAACTAATGATTGAAAGAAAACGAAAGAGTCGAGGCCAGACAGAGGAATCTGTTTCTTTGTAAAATAGTATAGTAGCTTCATCTGGTCTGTTCCTGTTTGGCTGTGACTCCATCCTGGAGAGAAATATCAGCTGTGCTGCTGCCATCAACACCTTCGTTTCTAGATGTTGGAGCTTGGCCTGTTTTTCAGTGTAGTCCTGTTTCTCTGACTGACTGGCTGGATGTGCTCTCTTCATCCTCTGACATGGGAGCTGGCTTGGAGATATACCCCATTTCCACTACCCTTCAAAAACCGATCCATGCAGAGACCGGTCCGAGCTCGGATCAGTTAACCAGGCCGAGCTCGGTTCTGACGACCGTTTACACATCACGCTATCTCGGTTCCTCGACTCCTCGCCTTCTAGTGACGATCTGCGGTATTACTGCCAGTATTGAAGGAGGAAATCAAGCAGTTGGTGGCGGTAATGCACCAAAAGTTCTTTGCCAACCGCCATAAAACACAAGAAGAAGAAGACAAAGAAGGAGGGAATCAAGCAAATCAAAATGGCGGAACCTGTCACATTCAGAAAGTTATGCCTGATTATTATTGCTGTACTTCGGTGTTTGTGGAGGGTTAGGGTTAAAATGTTGCATGGAGAAGATTTCGATTGTGGTTTATAGTTCTTCTTCTTCTTCTGTTTTGTGTTGGTTGGCAAGCAGCTTCCGGAGGGGCATTACCGCCAACTACTGGAATGGAGTGTGAATCGCGATCTGCAGCCAGACGGAGATGACGCGTTCCGCTCATGCGCTCTTGTTATCAGAGAACCGAGCCAGGGGAAAACCGAGCCCACCTCTGGAACTGGTCTGCAGTTAGCGCGGTCTGGTTGTGTCTAGCTCGGTTCAGTTCTGTTTGCTTTCCATTTAAACACGGTTAGTTATCTCAGTTACTGAGCTCGGACCGGTCTCGGCACGGTTTTTAAGGGTAGTTTAAATGGGGTATATGTCTGCCTGGCTGTTTGTTTCCTGGACGGGGCCGCCTGTGGAGCTGGTTGACAGTTGCCTTTAGTATCTATGCTTCTTTTTCTATGTCTGCTTCTGTCTCCTTGAACCCCAGTGGGCCTCAGCAGATGGCCGCTCACACTGAGCCTGGTTCTGCTGGAGGTTTCTTCCTGTTCAAAGGGAGTTTTTCCTCTCCACTGTCGCTACAAGCATGCTTAGTGTGAGGGATTGCTGAAGAGTCAATGAGTCGATGCAATCAGCTGGTTTTCCTTAGAAAGAAAACTTTGAATCAATCTGACTGGATGATCTGGTTGAACTGGAAAGTGCCTTGAGATGACTTGTGTTGCGAATTGGCACTTTAGAAATAAACTAAAATGAATTGAAAATTTGAGTTTATTTGTGATAAAGAGTTTTGTAAATAATCAAGAGACTTTTTAAATGCCTTCAGAAAAACATTCTTATAATTACTGAACAACAGAATCTGTTTTAAAATGAGAATATAACCAAACAGAACTGGTTTAGATCTGATGCAATTCAAACAGGACGTCTTTAAGGCGCACAGGGACAGTTCTTTTTGTGAATATGTATTTAATAATGAATTAATATTACTTAAGACAATTTAACCATTTTGATTCAAAGTAATTCAGTAAAATATAGCTTGAATTATTTGTTGCTCACATTACATTTTATTTCAACCAAAAGCAAAAAGAAGAAGTTGGTTTATTGCATCTATGATGAACAGGAAGGGACGTGGTTTTGCTTTTTTTCTGCAGAAATAAACCACTTCCTGCACTTCTCTCTCTTCACATCAAACCGCCCTCTAAGCACTAACCCTTAAAGCTGCAGTCTGTAACATTGAGGAGAGAGCAGACTTCGAATGAAAATTTGAAGAAAAACAGGTTTCACGCCACTCCCCCACCCTCTCTGCTTCGCTCATGCCCCACCTCCAAGCTCCACCCCTCTCACAGCATCTGCGCGGCTACCGCATGCGACCAGAAGGGGGGGGTGGGGGGGGGTGGGATTCAGCGTGTGTGAGCTGTGATTGACACTCCATCAGACGCTCCTCTGGCTGTGATTGGTTGTTTTGACTCGTCCCGAATTATTCTTTCCAGATTGAAATACAGGCAGTAGGCGGGACCAATTGAAGCAGTTTTTTTCACAGGTTACATATCACATGTACTGCTGTCTGGGCATAGGGACAGTTTTAGCCAATATGACAAAAAAGTGATTTTTAAAAACTTACAGACTTCAGCTTTAACCATCAGTGTTTCGCACAAAGAAGTCACACTCGCTTTGATTGAAAGTGGGTGGTGGGGGGGGGTTAAAAGAATGGGACGGCATCTTCCCTGCAACGGAAAACAGCCGTTTCTATGGCAACACAGCGAGGCCCCATGAGCGTGACTAGCTCTGTGGTGTAGCTTGACATGAAATCAAACATTTGCCCCTTTCTTAAAACAAACTTATACGGTCAAATAAAGCGATTTCCAAGAGGATTTTCCTTTTTTAATTATACAGTGATTTTCTGTCAGTGTGACGAAGATGCAGCAAAACAGCTGGTAGAGCGGGTCCCTGGAGGATGCTGCCACTACCCGATCTGTCCGGGAAGCACCATCCGTCCTGCGCATGCGTGAATAAATACACGTCCGGGTGTCCATAAGTAATGTAATTATGATACTAAAATTACTAATTTCTATCCTTAACTCAAAGAATGTTAATAAACCTCTTTAAAAAATGTTTTATGACTTTTGTGAGACAATTTTTATGCTTTTTACATTTCTTTTTGTTAGACTGCTTCTCTGAGGTCATCATCAGACATGATCAGAGCAGTCCAGCAAAATTAAACCATGTTTATCTGCATTTTAGTTGTTTCTTTCTTTAATTATGCACTATATACCATAAGGTTAAAACAAAAGGAAAACATTTAAACTAAAAAAGACTAGATTTATGTTTAAATCCAAAACTGAAAAAGTTTGCTCCCGAAAGTAGGGAAAAATCAGGAACAGATGACCGATGATAAAATGAGGATTTTAAGGCATTCATTTTCTCAAGAAATACATGATCAACCTTTAACACATTATATTTTAGTACGCTTACTATTTTTGGGGAGGGAAAAAAGTCATTTAGGTCTTTTTAACAAAATAAAATCGAGGACGACCCGGATGTATATCTGGATGCACCAATAAGCTGATGGCGCAGGACGGATTGTGCTTCAAAAGTTGGAGCCTGATTTTGGGACGTTTGCAAACAAATTTTTTTTCTTTTATCATTATTCTTTTTGTAAAAACTCTTTCAATACCTAATTTATTTTAAGCAGACAGATCTAATAATTCTGGTTCTTTAACAAAAACAGAAGAAAAAATTTACTTGTCTTTCCAGTGATGGTGTCCATAATGTCCACATATGTCCCCGATTCCTGTCAGCAGGTGATCCAGGAACTATTGACAACATACATATGAAAAATCCTGTTATGCACCGTTTAGTGCATCTTTAATGAAAAGTTTGAAAAAGGTGCAAATGTTTTACATCGTTAGGAGGAACGACTGAAAGCCCCACCTGTGTGTGGATCTCCTCGTTTATAGACGCTTTGCTCTCCTTCTTCTTCTTCACAGCGAGGAGCTCCACCAGAGGCCTGATGGTCATCCCCTGAGGATGGAGATAGGAGTTACCGCAAATAAATACTAATTTATAATAAACAGAATAATCATTTTATAACTCAGTGCTTTAATAAACGCACCTGCACAAAGACGGTGAAGAAGACGACCGTGATGATGGCTGTGAGGAACAGGTCCTTCATCTCGTGGGTCAGAAGGAAACCGAGAGAGAAGGCAATTGCACCTCGCAGGCCACCGTAGGCCACAATGAACTGGTCTTTTTTGGTCAGCTTCACAACACGAAACTTATTGATAATGAATGTGAGACCAACGACGCCTGAAAGACAGAATCTTTGTTTTACTGAACAGTGAGAGCTAAACCAAAAGCAAAAGACACATTTAGTCCAAATCAATATCAAACCCAAACACCAAAATCTTAACTTGATTTCTTAGCTTGAAATAAAAACAAAAAAACACAACATTATGGTAAAATAAAATCTATACTCACTAATTTTAATATAGAATGTTAGGTGTAAATCATGTCAGATTTTTTACTTAGCTAACGACACAGAGCTAACCTTAGCTAGCTTATATATAGGCACTTTAAACTCTCAGTTATTTCGTTTTCTTATGTTTAAATATTAAATTACATAGTTAAAATAACAAATGTTCAATAAAAAGTTATTCTCAATAGACATTAGCAGTTTTTAAAACAAAACGAAACATGCTAACTGGTTATTGGCTATACCCTTCTAAGCTAGTATACCATATGTGGCAGACTTTAAATAATAAAACTTTTTAAATAACTTTTTTTTAACCTGAAAGATGCAATGACTAGTGAAATTTATAAATAAATATGGTCATTAACAAATAAAAGACAAAAACGGAAGAAAATTGTCCTTCAGTTTTTTGGTTTTGCAGATAAGAACATCATTAGCCGTTATCCAGTTCTACAATAATTTCTATTGTTGTTTAATAGAATGGGAGGCAGATCTTTTAGTTCTCAGGCTCCTCTCCTATGGAACCAACTACCAGTTTTAGTCCGTGAGGCAGACACCCTGTCTACTTTTAAGGCTAGACTTAAAACTTTCCTTTTTGATAAAGCTTCTAGTTAGAGTGGCTCAGGTTATCCTGAGCTATCTCTATAGTTCTGCTGCTATAGGCTTAGACTGCTGGAGGACATAGGGACCCCTTTTTCATCATTCTGCTTCATTCTATCTCTATTCTCCCACTCTGCAGAATCTGTTAGTTCAATCTCTAACGTTCTGCTCTCTCTGCTTTTTCTCATAGTAGCTTCATCTGGTCTGTTCCTGTTTGGCTGTGACTCCATCCTGGAGAGAAATATCAGCTGTGCTGCTGCCATCAACACCTTTGTTTCTAGATGTTGGAGCTTGGCCTGTTTTCCAGTGTAGTCCAGTTTCTCTGACTGTGACTAACTGGATGTGCTCTCTTCATCCTCTGACATGGGAGCTGGCTCGGAGCTCGTCTGCCTGGCTGTGTGTTCCCTGGACGGGGCCGCCTGTGGAGCTGGTTGACAGTTGCCTTTTGTATCTATGCTTCTTTTTCTATGTCTGCTTCTGACTCCTTGAACCCCAGTGGGCCTCAGCAGATGGCCGCTCACTCTGAGCCTGGTTCTGCTGGAGATTTCGTCTTGTTTAAAATGAATTGTTCCTCTCCACGGTCGCTACAAGCATGCTTAGTGTGAAGTATTGCCTTCGAGTCAATGCAATCAACTGGTTTTGCTTAGATAGAAAACTTTGAATCAATTTGACTCGATCATCTGGTGAACTGTAAGTCCTAAGAACTTAGATTTCAGCTTTCAAAATCCTACAATTCAGCAAATGAGTTAAAAGGCATTGCAGGCTAACAAAAGAAGCCAAACAACCCCCATTCCAAAGGGATGGACCCGTTCGTCTATTTCAACTTACATGTTTTCTAAGCAAAAACAGGCTTCGTTGGGCTACTGTATACAGCCTCGAACTCAACTGTATTACTCACATTTGAATTGAAAAAGCTTCCTGGATGGGAAGAGAAATGTCTTCAAACTAGGAAACAAAGTCCAGTAGATTTTTTTGTTTTTTACTGTTTTGGCTTTGAGATATGAAAGTTCCGACTAAAATCATTAGCCGTTTAGCAGACTATAACATCATCATCACTATAACATACATCTGCCATAGGCCGAACGCTGTAACACATCATATAGCCGTCCATCATGTCATGTTTCCAATAAAGATGATTGCACTCACCAAAGACGTGTTAAATGATAACTGTGCCTAATGCCTTATTACTTTTTTGAGATGACAGGGATTTGGAGTTTGAATGAATATAGTTCATTTGTTTTTCCTCCAGAGGAGCTCGGCAGGTGGGCGTGCCCCAAACTTTTCCAGGTGAGATTTCTTCATCATAAAGTGGCAAATCCTTTAATCCAAATGGTCAGGTGTTTTACTTTGTGTAGCGACCTTCAAATTGCCTCTAATTCTGGTCACTTCTGAAATCCTTGTTGATAGAATATTTTTTAATTTATTGTAAATATTTATTTATTATACATTTTTTACAGCATTGGAAGACATAAAAATGTTTGTTTGTCCTCAAATATTAAATATAAGACACAAACAAACAATAATCCATCTTTTTCCAATTTGTTTACGCTGAAAAAGCTCCAATGAGCCGCAAGGGGGCGCTAGAGTTGCATGGGGTTGCTGACCTCTGGTCTAGGGCAATATCTCAGTCATATGGAATTAATGCCACTGAGAAGAAAAAAAATAAAAAATAAAAATAACACTCATTAACATAAACAAGTGAAATGATTTCTGACTTTATTTGCAGAATTCTGACTTCTAATCCCAGGATTAAAAGTCAAATTATTTAGGACTCCTTTTTCCACAGCCTAGGATTGTCACTTTGATAAAGTGTTGTCACTCAATAAAGCCTTTATAACTTTATTGAGTGGCTTTTCTTTTTTGTTTTTTTTCTTAAAGGATTGAGCATCATATTTAAGTCTTTTTTAATGCATCCAAGCTCATTAAGTTTTGTGATTAAAAACAATAGAACTGGTAGAAACAGATTGGCTCACTGACTGACCCAAGACTCTGGAGAGGAGACAGAAAACGAGTGTGAAGATCACAAAGGTCCAGTTCCATCTGTGGGGGCCCTCCACTGTGGACACCCCGAGGAAGATGAAGATCAGCGTCTCGCTCACACTGCTCCACATCTTCAGGAAGTATTTGACGGTGGTGTACGACTTGTGGGAGATGTTGGCCTCCACGTACGGCCGCATGATCACACCACAGGCAATCAACCTGTTGGGCATGTGAGAGAAAATAGGTGAAGAAGCTCTAAAGCTTCCAGGGTTAACACTCATGTGAAGGAATGTTTCAGGCCTGAGCAGCGAGCCGCTGAAGGTCTGCTGTGGTATCTGACACCGACTCGACAGAAAAACCCAACAAAACCTGAAGGGTATTTTCTGAACCCTGCACTAATCGCTGTAACCATTTAAACACAACATGGGAGGAGCTTTCTTCCACTTACGACATGATGCCTGACAGATGGAAGACCTCTGCAGAGAGGTAGGCCATGTAGCTGTAGAGGAAGACAAACAGGGGCTCGATGACACGGGTGTGCGAGGTGAAGCGGGACGTGAAGGCTCCCAGGACGCCGTAGATGACACCTACCAGGATGCCACCGAGCGAAACTACGAAGAAAGAGACCACGCCCAGGAAGGCGTCGCCAACGGTAACAGTTCCTGCATGGGAAAACTCGTCAAACAGGTGATACAGAACCTAAAGGGAGAAACATCGCCTGTTAAAGGAAAAGTCCGCTCATATTCAGAATTCAAACGTCTAAAAGTACTTTAAAGATGAAATTATTACACACTGTTCAATGAATGATAAGTGTCTTTAACTAAGAGTAATTTTAATTTTAATGTGCTTTACTGGACGCATCCATGTTTGTCAAAGGACACTACTGCCACCTACTGGTTTGTAACGTCACGGTGCACGACTTTATTTTCGTAATGTTACGTTATTTTCGTAATGTTACGACGTTATTTTCATAATGTTACGTTATTCTCGTAATGTTACGTTATTCTCGTAATGTTACGACAATATTCTCGTAATGTTACGACAATATTCTCGTAATGTTACGATATTAATTTCATAATGTAACGACTTTATTCTCGGAATGTTACGACTTTATTCTCGGAATGTTACGACAAAATTCTCGGAATGTTACGACAAAATTCTCGGAATGTTACGACAAAATTCTCGGAATGTTACGACTTCATTCTCGTAACGTTACGACCTCATTCTCGTAACGTTACGACTATTTTCGTAATGTTATGACGTTATTCTTGTAACGTTACGACTATTTTCGTAATGTTATGACGTTATTATTGTAACGTTACGACTATTTTCGTAATGTTATGACGTTATTATTGTAACGTTACGACTATTTTCGTAATTTTACGACTTTATTCTTGTAATGTTACGACATCATTCTCGTAATGTTATGACTTAATTCTCAAAAAAAAAAAATAAATAAATAAATTTCTAGCCTGGCCCTAATAAATAAAAATGTGGCAGCTAACTCCGAGGAGACCAATAGAAACGCGTCTTCAGCCCTCATTCAGAGGAAAGGTCGCCTCTAACATAAAGAGAGTGTGATTTGAAAAACCTAAATTGAAAAGAATGAGGTTTGAAAGAGAAATATGAAAAGATAACATTTGGAAAAACAAACCCTAAAAAAACAGGAAAATCTTTGAAAAAAAATAGGATTTAACTAAATAAAAAAAAATAAAAAAAATAAAATCCGAGATGAAAGCAAAGTTAAAATATTTTTCACGTTTTTTTTCACATTTCCATTTTTTCCTGCAACAATAAGTTCCTCTGATATCTTAGTTTAATAAATGACTCATTAACATTAAAAGGTCTAAATAAGGAATCTGCTGTGAATTTCGGAGACTCCCTGACAGGGGCACCGTATGGGGGGACGGAGTTAGGGAGATTCTAAGGGCCCTTGACTGAGGAGGGCCCCAAAAGAAGAAAAGATTTTTCCTGCTATATTTTGTTTTTAATATAAAAAGAAAATCCAGCAGTGAAATAAATTATCTTTATGTTCTAAAAAAGGTAATTTATGAGACCTGCATTCATCCATGTTTTTTTGTTTTAAATAAGCTCTTATTTTTTTAATGGGATGTTTTTTAATGTAAAGTTTAAAGTTAATGTTGATTTAACTTGTTGTGTTTTCCTTTATAGAAATTGCACTATAAAATTTACATTCAGTGCATTGTATAGCAGGGTTAAAGCTTGCTTACATGTTTTTTTTGGTGGTGGTTGAGGTGGTGTGTGTGTGTGGGGTGGGGGGGGGGAACCCCTGCTCCCTGAAAATGTTTACGAAGGTAAATGAAAACGTTATCCTCCCTCCTCCAGCTCACCACAGTCACAGCGTCATTCAGAAGCGACTCTCCAAACACCAGGATGTGCAGCAGCTCGTTGATGTGGATTTCTTCAAACACGGCCAGCACCGCCACGGGGTCCACGGCCGAGACGATGGAGCCGAACAGCAGACAAGACAGCAGGTCAACATGGCCGACCTGGGCTGCTTCGATCTGACACACGGCGAACATCATCCCGCCGATGAAGAAGGCGTTCCACAGCGTCCCCACCACCGCAAAAACCAGGATGGTGCCCAGGTTCTCTGCGAAGGCCCGGATGGGCAGGAAGAAGCCGGCATCCAGGATGATGGGAGGCAGCAGGTAGAAGAAGAAAATCTCGGTCCGGAGGACCGGAGCCTCCTCATCCATCGCTTTGATGACGCCACCAACAAGCAGGCCGACGAAGATCAGCAGGCAGCTCTCTGGAACGACGTGGGATACTCTGGGAATGATGTGGAAACCTGTTGGGATCAGACAGAGCCATTTAATCACTGGAAACCAGTTAAAGGAGGAGCCCTAGAGATCATCACTAAAGGAGCTGACGCTTTATGGAATCCAAATAATCTCATTAGAGTTCATGGGCGGTCCTAAACCGGGGTCAGTAGATTTGATCCCTGTACCAAAGATATAATAAAGAATAAATTTATAATAAATTAAAATATGCACTAAAACATCTAGTGTAAAAAAAGTATTCAACTATTACTCCAGTTAAATAAACAGAGATCGATGGATTTCACTTACAGGTGCTGGTCATAAAATTAGAATATCATGAAAAAGTAGATTGATTTCAGTAATTCCATTTAAAAAGTGAAACTTGTATATTATATTCATACATTACATACAAACTCATATATTTCAGATGTTTATTTTGTTTAATTTTGATGATTACAAATGACAACAAATGAAAATCTCAAATTCATCATATCAGAAAATTAGAATATTGTGAAAAGGTTCAAAATTGATGGCCCCTGGTGCCACACTCTAATCAGCTAATTAACTCAAACCACCTGCAAAAGCCTTTAAATGGTCTTTCAGTCTAGTTCTATAGGCTACACAATCATGGGGAAGACTGCTGACTTGACAGTTGTCCAAAAGACGACCATCGACACCTTGCACAAGGAGGGCAAGACACAAAAGGTCATCGCTAAAGAGGCTGGCTGTTCACAGAGCTCAGTGTCCAAGCACATTAATAGAGAGGCGAAGGGAAGGAAAAGATGTGGTCGAAAAAAGTGTACAAGCAAGAGAGATAACCGCACCCTGGAGAGGATTGTGAAACAAAACCCATTCAAAAATGTGGGGGAGATTCACAAAGAGTGGACTGCAGCTGGAGTGAGTGCTTCAAGAACCACCACACACAGACGTATGAAAGACATGGGTTTCTGCTGTCGCATTCCTTGTGTCAAGCCACTCTTGAACCACAGACAGCGTCAGAAGCGTCTTGCCTGGGCTAAAGAGAAACAGGACTGGACTGCTGGTGAGTGGTCCAAAGTCATGTTCTCTGATGAAAGTAAATTTTGCATTTCCTTTGGAAATCAAGGTCCCAGAGTCTGGAGGAAAAGAAGAGAGGCACTTCATCCACGTTGCTTGAAGTCCAGTGTAAAGTTTCCACAGTCAGTGATGGTTTGGGGTGCCATGTCATCTGCTGGTGTTGGTCCATTGTGTTTTCTGAGGTCCAGGGTCAACGCAGCCACATACCAGGAAGTTTTAGAGCACTTCATGCTTCCTGCAGCTGACCAACTTTTTGGAGATGCAGATTTCATTTTCCAACAGGACTTGGCACCTGCACACAGTGCCAAAGCTACCAGTACCTGGTTGAAGGACCATGGTATCCCTGTTCTTAATTGGCCAGCAAACTCTCCTGACCTTAACCCCATAGAAAATCTATGGGGTATTGTGAAGAAGAAGATGCAATACACCAGACCCAACAATTCAGAAGAGCTAAAAGCCACTATTAGAGCAACCTGGGCTATCATAACACCTGAGCAGTGCCACAGACTGATCGACTCCATGCCACGCCGCATTGCTGCAGTAATACAGGCCAAAGGAGGCCCAACTAAATACTGAGTGCTGTACATGCTCATACTTTTCATGTTCATACTTTTCAGTTGGCCAACATTTCTATAAATCCTTTGTTTTTATTGGTCTTCAGTAATATTCTAATTTTCTGATATGATGAATTTGAGATTTTCATTTGTTGTCATTTGTAATCATCAAAATTAAACAAAATAAACATCTGAAATATATGAGTTTGTATGTAATGTATGAATATAATATACAAGTTTCACTTTTTAAATGGAATTACTGAAATCAATCTACTTTTTCATGATATTCTAATTTTATGACCAGCACCTGTATTTTATCTTTCGAAAGAGAGATCAGTTCATCATACGGCCCTTATTGCTCGGTAATCAGCCCTGTTCTGCCTGAGCAGCGTTCGTTCCCCCTTACTTACAATAATGGAAAGTAGTCAGAATCAAAACAAATTACAGACGCTTTGGTTAAACAGTAACATGTTATGAATAAACCCGAGAAAGAATCTAGCTTGTTATGGGGAGAAGGTAGGTCTGGTCTACAAACATCCTCACTCCGCATATCCATCTGGAAACCTTCCGTTGGAGTAATTTTGGGAAGGGGCGAAAATACTGGTTAGCTGATTGGCCTATGTTGGTGATAGACGGGCCAAATAAACCAATCAGATCAACGAAGCATATGACGTACTAACAGAGCGACGACGAAGAGGAGCCAATTGATAGATCAAACTCTTGCCGAAACCAGTCGGGAGAAGAGCAAAAACATCTTTTCCTCTGAGAAAAGCCTCCAGAGCAGTGTTTTGCTCTTCATTCAGTGAAGAAATACTCTGTAATTCCCATAAAACTTGCTCAATAGCCACGCTAACGCTAGTTTCATCGGCTGAAGCCGCCATGTTCTTTAGACTGAACTGTGGCGCTTCTTGTTGCGTCCCACCTCAACCCGCCTCAAAGCCAACGCTGATTGGACGTTCGTTTGGCTCCAAATTTTCTTTAACGGAGAGTCTCCAGACTGATCTGCGAGTGAAACCTTGAAAGCTCGCGAGATCAGGATGGTCTCTTTAAAGACCATCAGAGAACAACCAGCATAGACATACTGAGGACATGGACGTCCACAACGACTGACAGGAGCAACAAGGAGAGGATGAATCCGAGAAAACTTTAGAGAAAACTCTAAAGGAGCAGCTGAGATCCATAGCTCAGGTGTCAATAAAACCATGCACTCCAGAAACACACTGGAGAAAGAAAAGTCATTTTCTGGCAGAACAAGGAGTCCTGTTTGCATCGTTGGAGACACGGCAAACATGTGGAAGAAGCTCTGATCAGAGACAGAAGCTAAATTTCAGGCCACCGTGCAAAATGCCCTGAAGAAGAGGACTGCAGGTAGCCTCGTGAGACCATCCTGATCTCGCGAGCTTTCAAGATTTCACTCGCAGATCAGTCTGGAGACTCTCCGTTAAAGAACATTTGGAGCCGTTCACCAAACGAACGTCCAATCAGCGTTGGCTTTGAGGCGGGTTGAGGTGTGACGCAACGAGAAGCGCGACAGTTCAGTCTAAAGAACATGGCGGCTTCAGCCGATGAAACTAGCGTTAGCGTGGCTATCGAGCAAGTTTTGTCGGAATTACAGAGTATTTCTTCACTGAAAGAAGAGCAAAACACTGCTCTGGAGGCTTTTCTCAGAGGAAAATATGTTTTTGCTCTTCTCCCGACTGGTTTGGGCAAGAGTAGCCTGGCTTGTGGTTGTGTTTTTGTCGTCGCTCTGTTAGTACGTCATGTGCTTCGTTGATCTGATTGGTTTATTTGGCCCGTCTATCACCAACATAGGCCAATCAGCTAACCAGTATTTTCGCCCCTTCCCAAAATTACTTCTACGGAAGGTTTCCAGATGGATATGCGGAGCAAATCCATCTGGAGTCAGGTTAGACTGCAGATCCCAGAACAGCACAATTCCCACTGAGAAACACAGTGGCAGCATCATGCTGTGGGACAGGGGAGCTGGTTGGAGTTGATGGGAAGATGGATGGAGTGAAATCCAGAACCATTCTGGAAGAAAACCAGCTAGAGGCTTCAGAGGACCAGAGTCTGGAGGTGGAGGTTCACCCTCCAGCAGGAGAACCAGCCAGAGAGGGAGAGTTTGGATCAGAGCAGAACAAGGGGTTAGAATGACTGCTGTTCATCGTTAATGTTTTCTGCAGAAAATATCTGCAGAAATCTGTCCCTCAGGCTGTGCTTTGCTGCGTGTAAATACATCATGCAGCATCAGACGTGAAGCTGCAGCCTTTCTGCTGTTCTGACCGTCTTTCTGAGCTGAAACGGGCCTCAGCACTCGGTTCATGCGGCCTGTGTTTTCTAGAGTCACTGACGCTTCACTCCTCCTCCTCCCTCTGACTCTGCACACTGACATCTTTGTTATCGCGGCGTGCATTAGGATAGGAAGTGGGTCCGGCCCACGGAGACAACAGCTGCACCAACAGATAAACCACAGAGCCTCTCTGGGCTTTCTCAGCGACTCGGATCAGCATTCTGGTCTCACTGCATCTTCAATCGCTTTTACCGTCTCAGTCCAACTAAGAACTAGAGCTACCAAGTTAAACAAATCGAGATTTAATGACGTAAATAGTTTAAATCTATAACTTCTGGTTACCAGACTCTGAAAAATCCTTTAGTTTAATTGATTGACCTATTGGGACGGAAAATCAAAGGCAGAAGTTTAGATCATCAAAGACTGCCGCACCTTTCAACCAAAAGGTGATGATGTCATGACTTTGAGAGCTCTGATAGGTTAATTCACAACATCTGAGCTACATATCGACCAATAGAGGTTTTTAAGGCCGATGACGATTATTTCGACATCAGTCTAACTGATCCCTGATATGCGTGGCCGATTTTTTAGTTGATTCTTTTGTCAGATATAACTTATTTTTCCCTCCGTTTCAATGATAAAAATGACAAAATGATCAACGTCTCAATTTAAACAAAGTAAAACATACGGTGGAAACAAGTAGATTTGAAGGCATGGCTGCTGAATCCACTGATGAAGGATTCGACAGAAATATCGATTAGGAGAGAAAATAAAACAGCAGCCATTGGCCAAAAATATGAGCCGACCAATGAATCGGTCTGTCCTTCATTTCAGTTAAATGGAGAATCAGCTCAGGATGCATTTTAAGGAGAAACCTCCAACATGCCGATTCCTTCTGTGACTTAATAACAACAACATAAGAAGCTGCAAAGACTTCAAGAGGAGAACCGTCGACTTCCACAGGTCTGGTTCTTCCTCAGGTCCAATAGATGCATCTAGATTCATCTGTATAAACAATCATATAAAAACCACAGTGTTGTGGGAAAAAAGTATTCAACTATTCACCCAAGTTAAATAAACGCATATCAGTGGATTTCACTTAGTCTGCGCTTTATTTTATCTTTGCAAA